CAATGTGGAATGGATTAATGGAGGTAGTAAGTTCAAATGAGGTTAAACGTATAATTATATTGATTAATTTGCATTAAATCATACTGGTTAGTATATTTTTGGCCTATTTATTGGAGTTCCACAGTACCCATCGGACAAAGCAGGCGGTGCAACTTCATAAAAAAGGATATACCATATTGTGGTGAGAGCTGGCTGCGAACAAACCAAAATAAATATATATAAAAAAAAAAAAATTTTTTTAAACGAAAAATTAAAAAATAAAAGAAAAAAACAGTTTCATTTCAGTTCGTGTTTTTTGCACCTTCAAAGGCGGGATTTTTACATACTGTTACTTCCAGTTTCCTAAAATTTATGAATAGGGAAAGGGGGGAAATAAGAACCAATCAAAATAAATTAAGCGGAAGGAACCAGTTTTACCAGGTTTGTTCAACAAAATTCCAAACTAAGACTTTTCTTAAAGCTCAGATCTCACAAATTTAAACTTAAGATGAAGTTGTGACCAATCTAATTTCGTGTTGTGCTACTACATTGTCCTTCGATATTACTATTTCGTTTGCCTTATTTCTGTTTTGCATTTCTTTTTACTTTCTTCTTTTGCTTCATGTAGTACAACATGGAGTGTGGCAATTCGAACTGCTGCACATCATCGGTGTAAAGTTCTATGTTGAAACCAGCTCAGTTCAGTTGTGCTACTTCTGACCTAGCTTCAAATTGTGTTTCTTTCATGTTTCCTAAGTATCTCCGCAACACTATGTCATTTGCTTTCTCTGATATCAAATCTATCTCCCTGTTATTCGATAATTTTATGCCGACGAACACCTCTTTCTATACTACGGGTCAATCTTATCAGTGGCCCTACTAGTTTACACGAGTATTTTTCCTACATCTATATCGATTAGAAGGAATTACACTTTCAATAACTGCACATATGGTCTACAATCCAGTCACAGTGAGTTAACACAGTTAATTACCAAAAACTCATCCCTCTCACATAGAAGGATGCGAACCACAACTAATTTGGTAAGGGATGAAGACATTGTGATACATACGTCTAATTCTCCTAAATTGCTAGATTTATCTTTACATTGCTAATTGTACTTCGCTCCCGCCAAGTGCAAGATGATATAACAGGACTGGACTACACCGACTCCTAGTTTAGAAATAGGAAGTGAAGTGGTGGAGCACGTTGACAGCTTCACTCCTTTGGGAAGTACAATCAACGGGTTGATTTCGGACGAAATCTCATCACGGATACAGAAAGCTAGTTTCGCATATGCCAGTTTACGCCGTGTCTGGCGTTGACGTGATATCCAGCTAGTTATCGACCAAAGGGTGGATGTACTGCCCATCAGTCCGCTCCATCCTCCTTTATGGCTATGAGAGTGGAAGACATGAAAAGATTAGCTGTCTTTGATCATAGGTGCTTGCGCTCTATCTCCCGTGTGAAGTGGTATAATAAGGTGAGCAATATTGAGGTTAGGTGTTGGTCAAGTTCTAGGTAAAGAGGGGAAATCAATCGATGAGGTTGTGAAGTTACATCGACTGAGATGGTTAGGACATGTGTTACGTATGCCTAGATATCGCCTACCACGACAATGGGCAATGTTAGCTGATATAGGGTCAGGCTGGAAAAAAGCTAGCGGATGTCAAACAAAAACATGGTCTCACCAGTCAGTGAAATCTACAACTATTAGTTTAAGCCAGCCATGTAGGAAGGTGTAGACTTCCTGACTCTTTGGCGTCCTCGTGACGGTGAAAATCAATGGCTGGAAACAACTGGTGATATGGCTCAAAATCGTTCTCAATGGCTGACGCTGATGCATTCACTCCTTGTGACTTATGATACCAGATGAAACTATATTGTTCTTCGTTATCAATATTCTTTTATCTCACACTTCTGTTTCCTGTCTCTAGTTTGCATTTCTTCTAGTTTCTTCTCTTGCTTTGTGTGCAACATGGAGGGAGTGTGGTGACTTGAACTGCTGCACATAGGTGAAAAGTTCTACGTCGAAAACAGACAGACAAACAGACTTTCCTCCTCACTTATGAGCTTAAAACCCGATTGATTTTTGACTGTTTTAACTAATCAATGTAATTAGCGTCTCTCAAAGTATATATATATATATATATATATATATATATTAGGCAATTGACACCAACCATTTTCGCTGTTTGTGCGTCGGTGGCATAGCGGTTAGGATGCTCGCCGAACATCCACATGGTCTGGGGTTCGATTCCCGGCCGATGGACTCCTTTACCTCGCTAAGCCAGAAACAATGCTGGTAAAGAGGAAAGGTTGGGCATGAGGCAGGCTAGCAACCCCATCCTGTAAAATAAACACTGCTACAGAAACTTCAAGCTACTAGCTTGAAGCCCTATGTTCCACTGGGGAACGTGAAAGAAATAAAAAAAAATAAAAATTTCGCTGTTCACTCGAGACAGTAAAGGCTCTTCACGTCAACGTTCTATCTTCTTGCATTATTGTATCGTATCGTTGTTGCTAACCGTGATTAGAACAGTAGGCTCGCAAAATTACTAGGTAGGAAATTCATTAGCGGTGTGATACTAACCACAGTTACCAAAGTTGGAGCAAGATTCAAGAGGGACACCTATGGCTACTGACTGACACTATCATGGAAACCAGATAGCCCTTTTGATACCTGGTTTGAGACATTTTAGCACCTCACAGTGAATCTTGTATGAGTTATTATGTGGCGGGCAAAGTTAAACTTTCGACACCACTAACAACCAATCAGCAAACGACCTTGAACGGACCAGTCACATTAAAGAGGCATATATGATGAATGGAAATGTATATTTGTAGAAAAAAAGCATAAAATAGAGAATTAAAAAGTTACATGGGATATCTTTCTCGAACATGTGAGAGAAAAATCTCCCAGTTTAGCATGGGACTGTCAATGGAGAAATTACACCATATCCTGTACATATATTCATCCAAATGACCATAAATGAGATCCATTTATAGCCCTTATCCTATTTTTCAACCTGCCCCAAAATCCTTCAATAGAATTTGTATGTGTCCTCGTAACGGGATCCACAAAATCACTTGAATGGTTGACTCTATGATGGATACATCCCAGAGATGACAGTGAATTTTAGCCTTTTCACTCGTCGGTGTGTATAATTGACCCCCGCTTAACAAGTCTGGTAATAATAGGTATAAGAGTAGTTGCTTTTCTATCTGCTATCTTTAGGGAGAGAAGCGACCTAGCGAAAAAAGTTCCTACGAAATATTAAAATTATCAGCTCACTCTCTCTAGCGTTAGTAGGCTTCAAACATATAGCACAACGATGAACAAACCCATCAGTTGATTTGGTATAGCTTTTTAAAGTCATGATACCACCACACAAACAAATTCGCTCTTTCCGGAGCAACTCAAATGGAGGAAATACTGGAAAACGCTAACCTCCTCGAATTGCTACAATAGCTTTGTAAGGTCACGCATTAGAAATGAATCAAGCGCTATACAACATTGAACTGCGTTCGCGAACCTCATTGGATAATTCGACATCGTTCGTGAATCTCATTGGATAATTCGCTGATTGGTAGTTAGTGGTGTCGAAAGTTTAACTTCGCCATGTGGCGCTAGCATATATGAGATTTAGCCATTGTGAATCGAATCAGTAAGGGATCAGAAGTAGACAAGGGATCATAGTATAGTATAGATGCCGCTGTTAAATCTGCCTTGGAGGATAGTTGGCAGGTAACGCAAATAATCTTAATAGACACGTTAAAATCAATATTATTCTACTACCTACGAGGCCGCAAACAAAAACGTTCAGAGTTGACATCAACGGAGGATACGTTTACCATACGCACAAACACATACACGCAAAACACCTCACTTTTAAACGATCTTTTATTCAACAACAACGGCAACAACAACAAGATGAAGGACTCAGGAATACAGAGGGGGAAAAACGAGGTCATCAATCAGATTAGATCTCAACTTATACACTCTCATCTTTGTAATGTCAGTTGGTGGTTGTTAGTGATCAATTTGATTTTTCTCTCTCTCCTTCTTTCATCTGCAGAGAAGAAGTACACACACACACACACATACACACCAACACAACTCTGTCGAAAATAAAAAACAAATTTAAGGACAAAAATCAATAGAGAACGGAAGAATAAGCAAAGAATCAATAAACAAAGAAAACAGGAAGAGGGGGAAGTAAAAAATTACTTCTTTTCTAAAATCTTAAATACCTTCCCCTCCCTTCTTCCTTAACCGGAAAAATGATGCGCGTGTGCTTGTGTGTGTGTGTCAAGTAACAAGCAGTGCGTGTGTATAAGACAGAGTGAGACGCGCGTACACGCACAAATACACACACACGCACACTACAAAATATCAAACGGTTGTGGTGGCGGTGGTGTTCGCGGCGGGGTGAAAGAATTTACGACTGGTAGGCAAAATCTTGTCTTATTTGTATAAGGCTGTACAATTTCTGTAATGATAGAGTGAAATATTATATATATATATATATATATATATATATATATATTCATAATTTATAGTAGTACTCATTGTACGTTTTTATGGAGTAGTTGTAGTAGGGTAGTAGTAGTGACAACACTCACTAACCAACCAACCACCCCTCTAATGGCATCTACCAATGAATCAATCAATTAATCGATCGATCAGTCAATCAGAAAGAGATATATGATGTGAGATAAAAGTATGCACCGAACAACAACAACAAATGATAAATATGTGAGTAAATATCAGTCAGTTAGTCAGAATCCAACTGTATGTACCACAAACACCGCCACCACCTATGAGTGAAAAAAATTACAATTCCCTATAAAAAAGAGAACAAATAAACACAAGAAGAAAGACGTTAGACAATGATGATGATGATGAAAGTATACAGGCAATCAATCGGGCAAGTAAGTAAGCGAGTAAGCGGGCAAGCAAGCAAACAAGCAACACAGACACGCACAAACACACAGATACACTCGAACACGATGAATAAATCTAAGGCGTTCTAGAATCACGACTTCTTGTACACTTTGGTGATGATGGTCCAGTTGAAGCATGTTTATCCCCTGTTATTTTATGATGTGTATTATTATTATTATTACTACTACAAGAAACCGGTGATGAAATATCCTCAGCTGTATAAATACGCAGGGGTTGTTCTCTACTTTTATTATACGTTGATGAAGAAAATGGATACGGTGTTGATGTGGTAGATGTGGACTCATGGGATTGTGGTAAATAAGGACCATAGTAACCATATCTATTGAACATATTAGCACCACCACCACCACTACCATCACTAGCAACAATGGAACCGGGAACAGCAGCAACACTATTATTGGATGATGAATCTCCTTGATACGATGTTGTCGTTGTTGTTGATAAGCAGGCTGGATCCTGTGACCAAGTAGCAAATTGACTATCCAATATACTTGGAGGCGGCAGAACGCCTTGTGAATGCCAAGGTGACATTAAAGTATTTAATCTATGTAGATTTTTAAACAAAACAAAAAAACCCATTGTAAGCATTTGTAAGGTAAATATTAATGAAAGCGACAATTGGCAGAAGTTAGAATTCAAGGACCATTGGATAGGGTCCCAGTGGCTTAATGTTATGCGAGCTCACCTTGTAACCAGAAGGACCTGAGTTCGAATCCTGGAGCTGGATGCGTACCGCTAAAGAGTCGCAAACTAGGCTGTCTGTCTGTCTGTTTTCGACATAGAACTTTGCACAAATGTGTGGAAGTTCAAGTCGCCACATTCCGTGTAGCACGCGAAGCAAGAGAAGAAAGTACAAGAAAAGCATAATAGAAACAGTGAGCAGAGGTGTGAGACAAAGGAGTAATAAAGAAATACAAAACAGTTTCATTGAAGATCATAAGTCACAGGGAGTGGATGCATCTGCGCCACTGAGAACGGTTTTGAGCCATGTCACCAATTGTTTCCAACCATAGATTTTTACCGTCCCGAGGACCCCAGCCTGGAAGTCTACACCTTCCTACGTGGCTTAGACCAACTGTTATGGATTTCATTGACTGATGCCAAGTTTTTGTTTGACCGCCGCTAGCTTTTTTCCAGCCTGACCCTATATCAGCTAACATTGCTCGTCGAGGGAGGCGAAGGCTTGGCATACGTAACACATGTCCTAACCATCTCAGTCTTTGTAGCTTCACGAATTCGTCGATTGATTTGTCTTGTACTCCCAGCTGGTTTTCTAACCAACGTCAGTTCATGATGAAATCCTGTAACCAATCATCAAAATCCCTACAAACCAATACTGGAAAGAGACAATGATTGGATGTCTCAAATGTCTCTCTCTCCCTCTTTCTTCACAAATGTCCCGATTACGGAGATGATTTGTTGCCTATGCAAGTATACTTGGAAGACAACAATTCAACTATTGCAATATCTACATCGAAGCTAAGAAAGAAGAACTTCTGCTTAGATGCATTTTCAATCTCCAGTTTACACACACACACAGTGATGTGGTTATGGCTTCATATTTAAGATCGGCAGTTGTAGATATTTTCATGGAAAAATTGGAAAATGGTCCGATGAAGTAGACCATCGAGAGGTTGTTCTTTTTCTGTACAAAACGTGTACATATGACACTTTTATTATTTGTGATAATAAATGTGACCATTAAAAGTTTAAAACTATCAAATTTACAATCGCATGGAAAATTTCATCAACAGCTGACATCAGTCAGAGAACCACAGGAAAACTTGGAAGTACTGGACAGCTATTTCGCCAACCTAGTTTAGGACTCTTCGACAGTACGCACCCACCAGGGTTCGAATCCAGGAGCTTCTGGCTACAAGGCTAGCAAGCTCATAGACCATTCAGCCACTGGCACCCGATCCACGGGTCCTTGAATTCCAATTGCTGCCAATTCATGACACATAGCGCGACCATTTCGCAATGTCTTGTTCGGTGAGTTACTGCCTCATCTTCAGCCTGCTGTATCCTACTGGTCAAGGCTTCTTACTAGAACCCCACACCTCCAAGTTAAACTACTTCTCAAGTATTGGTTTGTAGGGATTTGGTTGATTGGTCACAGGATTTCATCATGAACTGATATTGGTTTGAGAACCATTGGAAAACTAGCTGGAAGTACGAGAAAGCTGTTCCGTCAGCCTAGTTTGCGACTCTTTAGCAGTACGCATCCACCTTCAGGGTTCGAATTCAGGTCCTTCTGGTTAAAAGGGCGAGCACGTAGACACGACCTAATGGCCAGCTCATGAATTCCGACTTCTGTCAATTCACGACACATAGGGCTACCCCTAGTCAAGGTCTTCGGTGAGTATTTGTCCTCACACCTGACCTGCAGCACCCTACTCGTCATGACTTCCCACTAGAATCCCAGGTAACTACCTACCTTTATAGGATAGATCGCTAGTGTGCATCTCATTTTGATATTCAAGTATTGGTTCCAATGGTTTTCTAGCTCAATGTCAGCTCATAATGAAATCTTCTAACCAATTAAACTTCTTTGTTATTATTAGCATTTTATTAATTTTTGTATGACATTTTTATGATGTCGTTTCTTAACTAACCCTCTAGTAACTATTTTTAACTTGCCACATAATTTATATTTTAGACAATCGTCTGCATTCTATTCTTCTGGGTGATTTTTCACATTACGTGACCCTGGTGATGATTTACTACTAATCTTCACCCGCCCACTCCCACAACTGCAATTTAATTATTCAATCACATTTTTTTACTCGAAATATTTTGATGACGTTAACAACAATAACGCCGACTAAATTTTATTTTCATCTGACAAACCTAATGTACATACACATCTATATATACAGCAATAATTATATACGTATTCTATAGCTGCGACTGTACAGCTAAGTGAATGAATTCGCCGGTGAAAAGAGACTATCCGCTAACTGAACTATTTGTTCCTGTAATAATAATGACAATCGACCAAAGGGCGGGTGTACTGCTCATCAGTCCGCTCCATCCTCCTTTATGGCTGTGAGAGTGGAAGACATGAAAAGCCAGTCTAGCTGTCATTGATCATAGGTGCCTGCGCTCTATCTCCCGTGTGAAATGGTATAATAAGCTGAGTAATATTGAGGTTAGGCGTTGGTCGAGTTCTCGGTAAGGAGGGGAAATCAATCGATGAGGTTGTGAAGTTACATCGACTGAGATGGTCAGGACATGTGTTACCTATGCCTAATCATCGCTTTCCTCGACAATGGGCAATGTTAGCTGATGTAGGGTCAGGCTGGCGGTCAAACCTAAACATGGCACCAGTCAATGAAATCTACAACAACTAATCTAAGCCACGTAGGAAGGTGCAGACTTCCTGACTGGTCGGGGTCCTCGAGACGGTAAAAACCACTGATGGCTGGAAACAATTGGTGATATGGCTCAAAATCGTTCTCAATGGATGGCTGGTGCAGATGCATCCACTCCTTGTGACTTATGATTTCCAATGAAACTGTTTTGTTCTTCGTCACTACTATTCTATTGTCTCACACCTCTGTTTACTGTCTCTATTATGTGTTTCTTCTAGTTTCTTCTCCCACTTTGTGTGCAACATGGAGGGAGTGTGGTGACTTGAACTGGCGCACATATGTGGAAAGTTCTATGTCGAAAACAAACAGACAGACAATAATAATGAAAACCAACTTCAACGATTCTGATAGATAATTTCTCAATAAGTAAATGCATTATTGCTAATAAAAGAAAACTCATTCTGTAATCCAAGCATTATAGGTAACAACACACAACAATAATACTAATAATACTAATTCCGGGCAAAATTCAAATACAGTGATCCATCAGAAAAACCAATGCGTTTTACATAAAATTAATGACGTTTATTACTTTATTTTGCCGGTCAACCATAGATATTAGGTGTACGCGTCGACAGCGGATCGAACCCCGGGCTATGTGCATGATCGGCGAGAGTCTTAACCGCTGTGCCACCGACGCACGAGAGAAATACAGACAATAATTATAGAACACAATAAGACAGGGTATTTTTTTCCTAACGTGACTTCAAAATATCTTCTATAATTATTATTATTTCATGGAGGATTTGATCATGCAATCAAACAAAATCCCTACAACAAACCAATACTTAAAAAATATTATTATTTCCTTTAATTTCTAGAGGAACATAGGGCTTCAGCCGCTCAAGTCTCCATTGCGTTCGGTTCTCTGCTAAAGATTTCACCTGGCTCCAAGTCTACCCACATGCTTTCATCTCCTCTTCACATCACCTCCTCCAAGTCACCTCCGTACTGATGACCAACTCACCGCTTCCCTTTCGGGTTCCACTCGAGCAATGGCTTGTCTAGTAATGTCACTTGATGGTTTCCTCAGAGTATGGCTAATCCAATCCATCCCCATTTCTTCCTGCCTATTTGTTACACGATAGGTTCCTCCCTGTTGCTGATCTTTTTTCCCTGGCCATCTGTTCTTGAGTATCGAGCGAAGACAGCTGTTGATGAAGGTCTGTAGTTTGAGATGCTCTTCATCAAGCGCTGGGCAAGTCTCTGATCTGTATAGTAGCACTGACTTCACATTGGAGTTGAAAATCCACACCTTATTTTTCATGCTGAGTGTTGATCTCCACACGGACTTGAGAGTAATGAAAACCTGTCTTGCTTCCCCGATTGTTGCTTTGATATCCTCGTCGGTTCCGCCTGTAGTTGAAACGATGCTTCCCAGGTAGGTAAAGGAGGTTATTTCTTTTTGGTTCCTACCATTTATGCTGACTGTTGTCTGTTGTTGTTGCTGTTGGCCAGGAATCTTCATCACCTCTGTTTTCTCTATGTTCACCTGAAGTCCTATTTTCTCTGGATGCTTCTTCTGCCAACTTTTTCGACATACATACGATGTCTTTTAGAGTTCAGCTTTTTGTTTGTCCGTCCACTGACGTTGCGGTAGTCAATCAAAATAAATCCATCATAAACTAGCTGTCGTCTGTCAAGTATGGATAATTAGCTGTCTCACTTTTGGTACAGAATACTTTTGCAGATATGGTGATGGATGTGTGATAGATGAAGTCCGACAACGCGTATAATAAAGACAAGAGCGATATACACCTATAGGAGTCATCTCTGACATCGTGGATTTGGTCTGACCGACGAAGATTAGGGTTCGTAACTCTCTTCAGGACACAAACGTTCACATTAACATCTGCATAATTCATCCCATACTGAAGATTATTCAATAGTTGAGAAGAAATGAGAGACACGACAAGGAATACTGTCTATCATGCAGCCAGCGAATCACTACTACTCAAGAACCTATGATTCCCTCACTCACTCACTCACCCAACAAATATGCAAAGGGAAATGGAGATGGGAGGGACACACAATATGTGGAGAGCCAGACATTCAAAGATAATCACCCTTTCGTATGGAATTCCGATGGAAAGGAGGGTTCGTGGGCAGTTACTTGATGAAAGAGATTGAAGGGTGAAAACCGCGTGCATTGCAGATGTACTGCTGAAGGCCTGTGCTTCAGTTAGAAGATAAGCAAAATGAAAATAATCCACCAGTACAACTACTTATGAAATTACAACAGCACATAATTATACGTAATTAATATTGTCATTGAAATTTACCTTATAAGAGAGAGAATTGAGCACACTTACCGGGAAATTTCACTTTGATTCAATGTTTCCATGTCGGTTGGTTTAATAGTTTTCGACTCTTCTTCAACATCTCTGAAAAGGGAAGTTTAAGAAGAGAATATCAGTTATTTGAAGTCAAATCTTTTGTGTACCCCTGAGTTCATAAAAAGCAGTAACAATAACAACAACTGGCATTTATGTGAATCACTCCATCTTATAGATAAGCAAATAACCGACTGGATTCAACACATAGAACTTTACAGAGATGTGCACCAGTTCCAGCTGCCACTCTTCCCCAATGTAGCACACATGGAGCAAGAGAAAAGAGTAGATTCAAAAGACAGAAAATAAACACAAGTATAAGAGAATGAGAACAGTAATAATAAAAGAACAGTCGACTTTTAGTGGATATGACTGACAAATCACAAAGAAGAGTGAATGCATCTGCGTTGTCATTGTTAACGACGATTTTCAGCCATATCACCAGTTGCCTATAGCCGTTATTGATTCTCATCATCCCGAGGAACCCAACCAGTCAGCCTGTTGACACCTCCTCCCTACGTGACTGGCTTAAACTAACTGATACCGATTTCGTTGACTGAGAAAGTCATGTTTTCGTTCGACCACCTGATCGATCCTATGTCAGCGGCCAACGAGGTAGGAGATGGCTAGACTAGGCATACGTAACATATATTCTCTCAATGAATGTAACTTTACAATCTCGTCGACTGATTTACCCCCTTATCTGGTCTGTCTGTCTGTTTTCGAAATAGAACTTTGCACATATGTGCGGCAGTTCAAGTCGGACTAGACGCCTAATTTCAATATTACTCACCCTACCACGCCACCTAGCACGCACGGAGGTCGAACACGGACACCTGTAGTCAAAGACAGCTAGCCAAGCTTTTTCATATTAGTTTGTTTATTAGATGGATATATCACACAGTGATTTTTTTCCTTAACGTTCCCCAGTGGAACATAGGGCTTCAAGCTAGTAGCTTGAAGTTTCTGTAGCAGTGTTTACTTTACAGGATGGGGTTGCTAGCCTCATGTCCAACCTTTCCTCTTTACCAGCATCATTTCTGGCTAAACGAGGTAAAGGAGTACGTCGGCCGTAGATCGAACCCCGGACCATGTGGATGGTCGGCGGGTGTCCTAACCGCTATGCCACCGACGCACTCACACAGTGATTGAAACAGTATTATTTACTGGATGACAAGGTTTCGTGCAAAACTTATTGTTCATAATCATTTCATCAATTATAATCACACGACTTCGAAAATTGAGTTTTTATAACTTTCTTTGTTCTCTTCTATATGTCGTAGGGGCAGTAGAATTTTCCATGTATCTGGGACAGGTGTTGAATCATTCGTATTACATGTATTTGCAGTTGATTCGATAAACAAGGCCTCTGTTATCAGTCTCCCACTCCACCCTGTGACATTAGATTTTAAAACTGTCATCTTATCCCACCCATCCTATCGTATGGTTGTGTGTTGTTGCATGTAGTGAGTGGTACTGCTGAACTATTTTTTAGATTTCTTATCTTATTTGGGTCAACCAATCTAAAATTTGCTAGGTTTTTATGTCCGGCCAGCAAAACCTAGATTGATTGACCCGAATAAGATAAGAAATCTAAAGAATAGTTCAGCAGTACCACTCACTACATGCAACAACACACAACCATACGATAGGATGGGTGGGATAAGATGACAGTTTTAAAATCTAATGTCACAGGGTGGAGGGAGAAAGAGATTGATAACAGAAACTTTGTTTATCGAATCGACTGAAGAGAACATACGTAATAGGAATGATTCAACACCTGTCCACCCAGATGTCTGGAAAATTCTACTACTCCAACGACGACAAATAGGAGAGAGCAAAGAAAATATAAAACTCAGATTTCGAAGTCGTGTGATTACAATTGATATGATTATGAACGATAATAAATTTTGTTCGAAACTTTGTCATTCAGAAAATAATACTGTCTCACTGACTGTGTGATACATACATCTAAGACACAAAGATGAGTGAGTAATAGAGAGGTTTCGCATGCGTTTCGGATTGTGAGGGCGATTGTTACTTCCCGGCTGCCCACACCGTGGAAGTTGGTTGCGTGACCGCAGAGCCCAGGGGACAACTGCTTGAGGCCGGTCACACGCGGCCTGATTTTGTTTGTTCTCTTTTGTTTGGTGTGCCTCAGTATCATACTTATCACTCCTGCCCTGTGACACGGCAGCAGGAAGCGCGGTCGTTGTTAATCCGGGCCACGGCCGATCCGGCATGGAATTTTGTGATTTTGTGTTTATCATGATGTTGGATAGGGTAGCTGCTTTTTGTTTAACCGCTATCCAAACAACCTTTCAGGTATGGTAGGACCTCAAGAGACATAAGTCTCAGCCAGTATAGCTTGAATAGATCATTGCGGTGTTCAAGCCCGACTACCACGTCAAGGTAGCAGCTTTCGTTCGGGCTCATTGTCTCTATTATGCTTTTCTTGTACTTTCTTCTCTTGCTTCGCGTGCTACACGGAGTGTGGCGACTTGAACTTCCGCACATTTGTGCAAAGTTCTATGTCGAAAACAGACAGACCATCTAAGAAACAAACTAATATAGAGTTATTTACTACCAAGTGCCCAAGCCAGGCTTTCATGACTTCCACATTCAATGACCATTAAGGAGGATGGAGTGAAATGCTGAGCTATATACACTCCTTTGACCGATAGCCGGAAATCACGTCTAAGCCAGATACCATACAGGTTGGGAAATACCAGAAGAGCCCTTTGTATCTGCGCTGAGATTTCGTGTATAAGTGAAGTGGTCAACACGCTCTATCATTTCACCCCCATTCTTTAGGCCAGGAGTCATTGTAGTCCAGTCTTGTAGTATCATCTTATATTTAACAGGGGTGAATCACATGCCAAGCATCTGAATATTGCTGCTCAAAGGATTCGCAAAACTCTGCATTTTGTCATTGTCTTCACTCAGGATGATAAACAAATAAAACCACATCGACTCTTACAACCTGAACTAATGCAATTCGACCAGGGGATACTATCATATAAGACATCAGATTCTTCGACTGAACACTAAGGATTAAGTAGCTAGTAGCACGAATCTGGTTCTATGACTGGTACATACTGAATTCTATTAGTCAACTTTGCAAGTGTAGCCAACACGCCATCAGGTGGGTGGCTCACTGACACTCTGAATTGTTGTTATAAGATGGTTAGAGGCAGTCGGCAGAATACTTTGATTGACCTCGATTTTGGTGTTTCTAAGCCCTGAAATTTCGTCAAGTCAGCACAGGAGTTAAAATACACAACACCTTTTTTAGTCTGGTGTATGCACACGTAAGATGCGCAACAGATAAGTGACAGCACACAAGATGGAGGAAGAGGGATAGAAATTTCTTAAATTTACACATTTAACAAATCAGATTCCTACAAAACTAACTCTGGAAAATGAATTAAAGCATTTCATCATCATCATGAGGTAACATCGATTAGAGAACCAGTGGAAGACATCGGAGTACTCTGCAGATATTTCGTCCTAGTCTTGGACTCTTCAACAATATTCACATACCAGGTTTAGAGCCCACCCTGTAACAGGAAGGTAGTGTGCGTTCGAACCCCGGTATGTATGTGTGTGTACTAATGAAGCGTCCTAAACTGAGCTGACGAAACAGTCAGCTGGTTTTCAATGCTTCTCTAACAGATATGAATTCATTGTCAAGCCCGAGCTGACACAAATCAAACTGACACTTGAGAAACAAAAATAACCACCACGATAGAGAGAAAAACAAGATACGAATTAATTCACAATTTACCTGAAAAATATAATATTTCCAGCTGCAAAAGATAACAGCATATCAGGATACCGAGAACATGGCAACCATTGCAATCCACAATTGTTATTATTATTATTCTTGTTAGACGAAGACATATTCAAACAATGTATAACACCGGGAAGTTTATACTGTCAACAATCAATTAACACAAAATGTAGATGATATATTAGAAATTAATGTGAACAAACAAACAAATACATGAAAACTGTGAGCTGACATCAGTTGAAGAACCATTGAAAAACCAGCCAATAGTACCGGACAGCTGTTTTGTCCTAGTTTGGGATTCCTAATCAGTACACACCCACCGGGTTCGGACCCAAGATCTTCTGGTTACAAGGCGAACTCGTAGACCACTGAGCCAATAGGACCCGATCCAATGGTCCCAGGTGGTTGCGTACTATGGAAGAGTCCCAATCTAGGACGAAACAGCTGTCCAGTACTCCCAGTTGGTTTTCCAGTGGTTTGCCAACTGATGTCAGCTCATGATGAAATCCTACATGCAATCAAACGAAATCCCTACAAAACCAATACTTGAAGATGAACATTGTAACAATAGTAAGTATCAATTTGAATATATACAGACGATCTATACATTTTGTGAGTGATAATCTGATAACGTCATTTATTATTAAGTGAATACTATTCAGACAAAGCGGTAGGAGGTCGCATTTTCGTTGAAACGTGTTTTTACTGCATTTGCGCGACACATTTCGGACAATCTGATCAGACAGACGGACTTGTTATAGGAGTACATATACATGAAATTAATGGAGGTAGGAGGTGAGAAAATAGACTACTTAGGTCAAGTTAAAAGGACATGTTGAAGGTCACAATAACAATGAAGACAACTAAACCGAATAACAAAGGTAATAGTGTGGTGAGGGCTGGCTGCTAGCTAAAGTTGGTAGACAGTAATTTACATCAATACTTATGCCTCAAATACTAATCATGTGAAAACAAGAAAAAAGGACTGACAACAGACTTTGCGTAGGCGGATACAGTTAACATATAGATGATCTGACATTCAAGGAACAGCCACCAAAGAGATGAAAGATTAACTATTAGTGAGAAACAACCAATCAGAAGACTGTGTTTATCCGTTTACAGTAATCTATAATAATGTACATGAAAATCTATAAATCTGTGTTGATTTCCTTAATAAACGATCTGTTTTCTGGCCCTTGTCTTCTGTTGTTACATTAGTACATCTACCCTGACTGGTATCAAAACACAAGGTTTACTAAGGAGGGTGACTTAGTGTGCTGACGAATTGTTGCTTTGAACGCATTAAGGTTGTTTAAACTTTCTAATTGTCAGCTAGGGCTTCAACAAACTTTAGGATACGGCCCTCCCCAAAAAACACGTTTTATACATAGGTTTAAAAGATATATTAGCGTCAATTTTATGTCCTGTTTTTATAATGTGTTTCGCAATAGAGGCGGTAGATCTCATGTTCTCACCATTAATGGGTTCTGAAGGCTCTATTTTTTTCGGAGCTATTTAGGAATATGCTCTGAGGCCAGACCTTACTTGCAGAGATCGATGGGTCCTCCCCATATATATATATATATATATATATATATATTGCTCTGGGTCTAGCTAAATTTATATGTTCCAATAATCTAGTTGACCCCGATCTACTGCCCTCCCCCAAACTACAGTGATTATATGCTATTCAGTGAATGATATTATTTTTCTTTATTGGATCTAATTGAGTTGTTAGGCTGACAATGTTCATCTCTGAGAGAGTTGGTTTGTTGGTTTAGATGCCACCCTGACTACTTCCAACCTCATTGACTATCCTACATAAAACCTCTTACGTTTTTTCTTTACATGGCAGTAGGTACTACAGAGGTTTTGGATTGTATAATACTTATATAGTAAGTTACCTAGAAACAAAAGCTCATCATTGCACTGCGCATTCACTTACATACAATCACACACACACAATACGAGGTGAGTGGGACAAGGTGAGAGTATTAAAAAGTAGTACCGTTAGGTGGGGGTGGGTGGGGATAGAGAGAGAGAGAGAGAGCGCGGTTAATCAATGAAGCTTTTTTGTCAATCTGGCAGTGTACTCGTGCAATCGGAATGACGCAACACCTACGTCAGAGGTAAAGAAAAGTGGTAAAAAAAGACAGATTATGAAGTCATTTGACTAAATTGATGTGATTATGCGAGATAGATCGTGCTCGAAACTTTGTCATCCAGTTATTAATACTGCATCATCACACTTTGTGTGATATTAAAAATATACACTTATGTAATATGACACATGTTTGCTCTTTTTTTATGCATAAATTAAAATTATTTATTAGAATAAAACCACCACCAAAGACAGGTGGGGGGGAGGCGCTAATTAGAAATTAAGCTCAAACTTGCGGTCTGTCTACTACCTATTAATAACAATTAGTGACAGTACTCAGTACTCTTCAAAGCGATGAAAAAATGCACTCGCCACACACATACACACAATCATGTATACACATAAATCACTTACGAAAGCTACTTCTAAACGTTGTGATGGTAATCCAGTATGCTGAACAAGCCAATCGACCAATATCTCCCAACGTGATTGACTCGCAGGATAATATGTCACTAATAATTCATGCCATTCACCAAATGAATAATTGGCAGGATGCCATTGACGTAGAAATATTGAACAAATACGTGGTTTACTTGGCAATATCGACGCTGCATATGATGCCGCTGCAGTTGAGGATGACGACGACGGAAAAAGCCCAGAAGGGTTTGAAGCAGCAGCAGCATTATTGCTGACAGGTGGGGAGAAAATAGTGTGAATATGTTTTTCACTCAGTAATTGTAACATTAAACTTTGATGTTGATTAGGTAATGCGGCAAAGATATCCACTTCATCGAACACTGGACCTGGTATAAGCTCCGGTATGGCACATTTACGCAATCGTAATCTATGAGGAAAAATTGGAAGAAAATTAAAAATATTGAAATTTTGATTGGGAATAAAAGGGGATTAAGGGATTACTGAATATACATGATGCTTATACGACGGAAATGGTAGAACCACACATACCTCAAAGACAATTGAAAAACAAACAGTGAACAGACTGACGCACAGATAGAACTCAACGGAAGCTAATCTTCAACTGATTGTACACCACGCATATCAACACCAGTAGTAGTGGTTACTAGTCAGCCAGATTGAGGTGATCGCTCGTTTGGCGACGAGTTCATCCACGGTAGTATACCCCCCTGTTTGATAACTAAGTTCACATAGCCGAATCAGTTGAGAAACTACTCCTGACTTCTCGCTAGCTACTTCGGCGAACTGCAATCCACACAGTTTCGAGTAGTGAAATTTCACTAATGTAGTCGCCTTTGGATTAACCACAATTTGTGTGATCTGACTGTATAATACCACTAATAAATACGGTAATCAAGAAAGCAAGCTGAGTGCGCCGATGATGATCTCCACCTGAATTAAGCGTGTGTCTAGATCACCTCCATTTGAATAGCCAATGAGTACTATACAGATGGATGTATGAGTGGCATTCAATACAACCACTTATCTCAATCAATCAACCGGCAGTATACAGTTTTCTACAAATATGTTTGCTTTCTGAATAACCGTATTTATGATATCAAACAGGCAGATCACACAAATATATTGTGGTGATCTGAACAACTTGATTTCCAGAGGGAACTGAGGTGAAATGTCAAAAATGTTAAATTGACTAATTAGTACCTCAAGGGGGAGAAGAGCTACCTCCCTCCTTCTCTCTCTTGATGACTTTACTCGAGGCGTACTGAAGAATTCACCTCTACAAGAATTACATTATTATCCAGGAGTTGAACATCATCAGATGGCGCAAGTAACAAAACGTATTTTTCTTTTCTGAATCAGAATTGTACAATTTTTTTAAAGTTTTGTGTATTGCTTTACGTAGATAGATTGATGATCACATGAGACATGAAACGACAGCAGAGAAAACAACCTTTTTGAAAGTAAGTCATGCGCTATCAACAATACTAATATTGTATGCATTGAAGTCAATAAAATATAATATTGATCAAACAAGCCTACCTATTGATTGAATGATACTGTGGTGTATGCTACTGAAAAGACTTATAAGTAGCATATATATACAGATAAAAAATGTATATATATATATATGTGTCAAGAATATCGAAAGGTGTAGAGATGGATTTTTTAAACGATGTTAGAGAAACACGCACACACACGTGTTGTTATTATTTCCTTTAATTCTTAGAGGAACACAGGGCCTACAGCTGCACATCTTCATTGCGTTCGGATCCCGGCTAAAGTTTTCACCTGGCTTCGAGTGTGCCCACATGATTTCATCTCCTCTTCACATCACCTCCTCCATATCACCCCACCCTAGCACTGACGACCAACTCGCTGCCTCCTGTTCCGTTTCCATTCGAGCGATGTTCTGCCCTAAGATGTCAGAGTATGACCTCCAATCCACCTCCATTTCTTCCTGCTTATTTATTGCACAATCGGTCCCTGGTTGGTTTGCTCACTGCCAGAGATCCCTGTTGCTGACCTTTTTTAAGCGGCCATCTGATCTTCAGTATTGAGCGAAGGCAGGTGTTAATGACGGTCTGTAGTTTGTTTGAGGTGCTCTTTATGACACGCCAAGTATCTGATCCGTAAAGAAGCACTGGCTTCACATTGGAGTTGAAAATCCGTATTTTATTATCATTTTCATGCTGAGTGTTGTTGACCTCTACACAGACGTGAGAGTAATGAAAGCTTATCTTGCTTTGCCAATGCTTGTTTTGATATCATCATCAGTTCCGTCGGCCCAGGTAGGTGGCAAAGGAGGTTGATTCTTTCAGGTTCCTCCCATTTATGCTGAATGATTGTTGTCTGGTGTTGGCCAGGAATCTTCATCACAGCATCTGTTTTCTCTATGTTCACCTGAAGTCTTAACTTCTCTGCATGATTCTTCTGCCAACTTGTTGCTTTTCACTTGCATATCTTCCAGTTTGTGGGAAATCAGACATATATCATCGGTGAAGTGCAGATCCTCCAAGTTTTTGTGTGGGTCCATTTTATGCCTGTTTCTTCATTGCTCGCTATTTATCGCATTATTCAATCTACTGCAATCCGGAAAATCATTGGAGATAGTAGGCAGCCTTGTCCACACACAACGTGGATACTATGAAAGCAAGACAAAGAAGCAGAACACCGAGGACATACATATATGTAAATTCTACGAGTCAACTATACGGTAGGCGCATTTTGCCTATATATATGCGTATCGCATTGCAAATAAGCAATTCCATTATCGAATTTTCTTGCCTTTTTATCCGTTACAATACAATACAGAGAAGAGTTAGAATCCGTGACTGTCTAATTACCTCAGTAAGCAAAGTGTTTTGACGAGAAAAGACATTAAACTACTATTTATTTCAAGTTCGACCACGGTTAGAGAGAACCATTGAAAATCAGCACTCAAGTACTGGACAGCCAGTTGTTTCGTCAGCCTACTTTGGGACTCATCGCTAGTACGCACCCAGCTACCTGACTGGGTTTCGAACTCGGGGCCTGCAGGTTAGACGATAAGTTCATACACCACTCTAGACAGTGACTGCAGACACCAATTCGAACTTTTATCAATCCGTGATGTCATCATCCATGGCGACCGACCGACCGGATGGACACCACTGGTCACGACACATCTCACTGTAACTCTAAGCAGTAGCCAGACACTAGTGACCAAAAGATCAATTTATCGTTGGTTTAAAGATCATGCAAGGAGAATATTGGAGAATTCAAATTTAACTGACATTGTCATCAATTAGGATACACTTCGAAGAAGGCATAAAATGAAATAATCCCACTAGGAAAGAGGCTACAACTACGACACTGAGAAAAACAAACGAAACGAAAACAACAATATGAATTTAAAGTAATTACCGATTAGGTGGGATATCCAACTTGTAGACATGCTTTAACACTGATGAAGCACACTTCAATATTTTTTCAACCGACCAACCTATACGAAACATTAGATTGATTTGATTCGACCAGATAGGTGATATTCGTATGAATTTCTGATCAGTTGTTTCTTGTGTCGTGGTAGTTGTAGTTGTATTTGTAGTGGGAATAGGAGAAATAGAAGAACTGCTAAGTGATACATGTTGATCTTGATCACTACCGTCACCTTCGAGATCAAGTACATACACGGGTAAATAGAATTCTTCTATACTGACACAAGGCGACAGCGTAATTCTAAGCTGTTGGTAGCAAAAAAATTAACACAAGTGATAGAGGGGATTAAACTACACCAAATGCTGTAAACTCAATATTATATATATATATATATATATAAGTCCAAACCAAGTTATTTCTTAACACAGTTTCAAAAAATTTGGACATTGGGGGTATATGATATTTTCTATAGTTTGGTTTGTAAGGATTAGTTTTGTTTTTACTAGTTGACCACGGACTGATATCAGTATGAGAACCATCGAAAACCAGCCGGGAGTACTGGACAGCTGCCGTTTCACCCTAGTTTGGAAATCATCGGCAGTACTCACCCCACCACTCGGGTTCAAACCCAGGACCTTCCGGTTACAAGGCAAGTTGGCTCGTATACCATTCAGCCACTGCATGAATTCTAACTTCCACCAATTCGCAATTTAGCGCGACCCTAACCATTGTCGTAGGTGGGACATCCATCCTCACACATGACATCTGGATGAAGCTCATTGTTCACGACTTCTCACTAGAACTGACTCCAGGAAACTCCATCCTGTAACAAGTCACTAGGGAGCATCAGATTAATTTTCTATAGTATGGTTTGTAAGGGTTAGTTTTGTTTTCACGAGTTGATCACGGAATGATATCATTTAGAGAACCACTGAAAACCAGCACTCGAGTACTGAACAGCTGTTTCATCCTAGTTCGAGAATCATCAGCAGTATGCATCCCCCTGGGGTTTTCGATGGTTCTCTAGGATGATGTCAATCCGTGATCAACTCGTATATGATATTCACTATGTTGAAAGTTCTTTTTGTATTTCTCAATGAATGAAAAATAAGACGATTCTGTTATTTTGTTAACTGATGTTTCGCTATTTAATACGGCTGTTAATAGCTTTATCGAAGTAGAGTATTATTAAACCAGAATTTAATCATTGTTGCTCAACATGGGGTCATTTTTACATTGTTATCATGTTGGTCAATTAGTAAAGATAACAAAACAAGGTGTAGATTGCCGTGTATAACATTATACAAGAGCAGCATGTGTTCACATCAGAATCACCTTGATTTTATCATTTCATGGGGGAAGCAGGGTGTTGTAACCAGGGAAAACTCTGTTTTAGTCTATCATTAATATTCATCAAACAATCTGGATTCTATTCGATATAAAGCGCTACTGATGATGCATGTACACCTGTCTGTCTGTTTTCGACATAGAACTTTGCACATATGTGCAAAAGAAGAAAGAAGAAGAAATGCATAAAAGAGACAGTAGACAGGAATATGAGCCATAGGAATAGTGATAACGAAGAACAAAACAGTTTCATTGGAAATCATAAGTCACAAGGAGTGGATGCACCAGCCATTGAGAACAATCATTCTGAGTCATATCACCAATTGTCTGCAGCCCTCATTGGTTTTTACGGTCCCGAGGACCCCAACCAGGACGACTACACCTTCCTACGTCACTGCTTGAAACTAACTGTTGTGGATTTCATTGACTGGTGCCATGTTTTGGTTTGACCGCCGTTAGCTCTTTCCCACGCTGACCCTATATAAGCTAACATTGCCCATTGTCAAGGAAGGCGATGATTAGGCATACGTAGCACATGTTCTAACCATCTCAGTCTTTGTAACTTCACGACTTCGTCGATTGATTTCCCCTGTTTACCTAGAACTCTACGCCTAACCTCCATGTTGCTCACCTTATTATACCACTTTACACGGGAAATAGAGCGCGGGCACCTATGACCGAAGATAGCTAGGTTGACTTTTCATGTCTTCCACTCTCAATGGTCAGATCTCACTCGCTGGCATAAAAGAGGACGGAGCAGACTGATGAGCAGTACACCCTCCCTTTGGTCGATAGTCGGATATCACGTCTACGCCAGAGACAACGTAAACTGGCAAATGCGAAACGAGCCCCCTGTATTCGTGCTGAGATTTCGTCAGAGATCAACCCGTTGGCACTGGATGATGGTACTTCCCAAATAAGTGAAACGGTCGACGTGCTCTACCACTTCACTTCCTATTTCTAAACTAGGAGTCAGTGTAGCCCAGTCCTGTAACATCATCTTACATTTGACGGGATCCAATCGCATGCCAAACATTCGTAGATTGCGGCTCAAGGTGTTTAGAAGACTCTGCATTTCGTCAGCGTCTTCGCCTAGAAGGACTATATCGTCTGCATATTCCAAGTCAACGAGATTATACCCTGGTAGCAAGTCAATCCCTGAATCGCTGAAGTCACTTAGGGTTAAGTCCCTTAACACATCTATGATGAAGTTGAATAGAAAAGGGGATAATGGGCATCCTTGACGGACACCACTGGTCGTCACCAGTTCAGATGACAGCTCGCCGTAAGCCCTCGCCTGGCTGCATGAGTATGAGTAGAGTGCCTTAATCAGTGCAATGTATTTTCTCGGAATTTTCTTTTACAGCCAAGCATCTCCAGAGAACTTCTCGATCGATAGTCGAGAAAAGGCGACAAAAGAAAGCTAGCTAGTTAACTGGTTAGCTTATAGTGGATTTTTTATTACGATTGACTACCACAAACGTTGATAGTTGAAAAAAAAAGAAAACTGAACTGTAAAAGAGTTCACACCCACTGACATGTTCAACATCAACTTACTGAGTGATTTGGGTCAAAAGTAGTGAAATCCCTTAAAATACCTCCATCGTATATTACCTGAAATAATAATAATAATAGTAGTAAAGAAATTAATACGAAAAAAGAAAATATTTACACAGATTAATGACAACAGCAATAATAATGATGATATAAATTAACTATAAATATAAATAAAATTATCCAGGTAACATAAATATCGACTACTGCTGATGATAAGATTTATTAGTAGTATATAAACGCAAATTGACAGGAAGCAGCCAACAATTGAAATCAACATTTTAAGTCAATGTCTGCAGGGGTAGTAGGTCACACATTGTGCTCTGGAATTGATTTCATTGGACAATGTTGCCTCTGTTTGTTTAACCTTGGACCAATCGACAGTCAAGCCAAACTTTATTGCAACGAAAATGCATAACTAAGATGATGTGCCGATCGTGAATAAAGTCCTGGTTTGGGACTCGTCATCAGTAAACACCCACTGGGTTTCGAACTTAGGAGCTCCTGGTTACAAGGTAAACCACTGAGACCAATTTGAATGGCCAGTCCACGAATTCTAACTTCTACTAATTCGTGATTTTTAGCACGAATACAAGGGGCTCGTTTCGCATTTGTTAGTTTACGCCGACTCTGGCGTAGACGAGATGTTCGACTTTCGACCAAAGGGCGGGTGTACTGCTCATCAGTCTGCTCCGTCCTCCTTTATGGTTGTGAGAGTGGAAGACATGAAAAGATTAGCTGTCTTTGATCATAGGTGCTTGCGCTCTATCTCCCGTGTGAAGTGGCATAATAAGCTGAGCAATATTGAGGTTAGGCGTTGGTCGAGTTCTAGGTAAAGAGGGGAAATCAATCGACGAAGTCGTGAAGCTACAAAGACTGAGATGGTTAGGACATGTGTTACGTATGCCAAGCCATCGCCTCCCTCGACGAGCAATGTTAGCGGATATAGGGTCAGGCTGGAAAAAAGCTAGCGGCGGTCAAACCAAAACATGGCATCAGTCAATGAAATCTACAACAGTTGGTCTAAGCCACGTAGGAAGGTGTAGACTTCCTGACTGGTTGGGGTCCTCGGGACGGTAAAAACCACCGATGACTGGAAACAATTGGTGACATGGCTCAAAACCGTTCTCAGTGGCGCAGATGCATCCACTCCTTGTGACTTATGATCTCCAATGAAACTGTGTAGTATTTCTTTATTACTCCTTTGTCTCACACCTCTGCTCACTGTTTCTATTATGCTTTTCTTGTACTTTCTTCTCTTGCTTCGTGTGCTACACGGAGTGTGGCGACTTGAACTTCCGCCCATTTGTGCAAAGTTCTATGTCGAAAACAGACAGACAGACAGACTATTACCAGCCAGTCATTTGCGGAAAATGCGTCCTCATTGAGGACTGAACTTCACTGATTTTCAGTGGTTCTCTAACTGATATCAATCGGTGGTCACAGTCGTATAAACAAATCTAATCCATACAAACCAAACTTTTGAAAATTAATCTAATCCTCGCTAGTGACTTGCTACAGGACGGAGTTTCCTGGAGTCAGTTCTAGGGAGAAGTGGTGACCAGTGAGGTCCATTTAATCGGGAGTGAGGATGGATTTCCCGACAATGACATTGCTTGGTGATCGCGCTAAAAATCACGAATCATTAGAAGCTAGAATTTATGGACTGGTCATTGAGTCGAGTTTCAGTGGTTGAATGGTATACGAGAATGCATGACGCGTAACCGGAAGGTCCTACGTTAGAAAGCCAGTGGACATGTACTGTCAACGAGCCCTAAACTAGGATGAAACAGCTGTTCAGTACTTCGGTGCTGGTTTTCAACGGTTCTCTTCAACTGGTATCAATCCGTGGTCTAACACGAAAAAAGTCTATTCACCAGTCTCTTGTCTTCCCCCACAACATCTGTGGCTATTTAATAATAAAACATAAACAGTCTAAAATAATATGTGTTTATTATGATAGCACACAGCAGTGTGTAGACTTAACACTTAGGATTTTCAGGATCGAGGCCCAATTTATTTATTCTGTAGTATGGGTAACCCAAGGTGGCATTAAGTGAATACTATTGTCAAGATTTTGCTGTAATTAGTAAATTGTGCGTGATGTTTTCTGTGAGAATTTCGAAGGATGCATAGATTGAATAGCGCGATGAGGAGAAATGAAATGAAGTATCCTTGTGAGAACAACCACACATAAAAACATGAAAAGTAGAAGAAAAGAGGAAGCTAAATGCGGATAAAATATGCAATATGGTTGGAAACAATTGGTGACATGGTTCAAAATCGTTCTCAGTGCGCAGATGCATCCACTCCTTGTGACTTATGATCTCCAATGAAACTGTTTTGTTCTTCGTTATTACTCCTCCTTTGTCTCACACCTCTGCTCACTGCTTCTATTATGCTTTTCTTGTACTTTCTTCTCTTGCTTCGCGTGCTACACGGAGTGTGGCGACTTGAACTTCCGCCCATTTGTGCAAAGTTCTATGTCGAAAACAGACAGACAGACAGAATATGCACCCAATACAGTCCTACAAGATGTTAATCGCGAGCACAAATACCTCAGTGATAAGGTCTGCAACACTGGGTGGCGCGGGTTCGAATCTCACAAGGGAGATGAATCTTAAGCTGCAGAGACACCTTGCTAACTGGCGAGGGCAAACAAACACAAAACACAGGTCGAGCAAGGCTACCTGCCGATAGCTTCCAACCATCTAATAGGTACCCTTTCTTTCTTCCTCATCAAGTCGCGCTGTGAAAAGCGTTTTCTGGCTACGGAAAGTGTGTCACACTAATTATCCACACACCTGCAACTACTGGTTGAATTAAAAGATTCAATCGAAATGGTAGTCGGCTCTTATTACAAACTTAACTGTAACAATGACATCTAATCTCGGTTACCCGAAGCTACAACAGTCACAAACGAAGCTACACGAAGAACAGCTTAACAACATTAGGCAACCAATCAGATGATTTCGTAGTATGTAGGCGGAATAATAGATGCTGTGCACCAATTACGTAGCAAATTTCATCCAGCTCTAGAATTTATAGTGACTGTTTGGAACATAGGGTCATATGACGGGGGGGGTGTACGTGTGGTGTGATGCATTCGCAAGGACAACCCCGCTGCATTGATTGATTAGTCTACAGATGCGAAGTAGGCCGAAGCAGAAAATCAGCCCAAGAAGGTACGCTGTTCCTTATTACGTTTATAGATACCGTAGATACATTCTTCGCTAAGTCGAAGTTGCCTTTAACGAAAGTTATGCAGATGTGTCACAACTGGGTTCTGAAAAGACAGCGACAGCATTTAAAACAGAGAATTCATAAGTGTCTGCAGTGCAATGGTATCAGTAGTGCAGAGATATAACATCATGGAAAATGAATAATATGACACAAATACTTGGTAGCGTCGGTGTCGTTCATGTAGATTCCTATGAGAAGCTGGGAGGTTTTCTTGGAACGTATATAGGCATTTTCTCCTATGCGATTACTTTTTAACATTGCAATACTTTTATATAAACGTTTTCTTTTCAAATTATGCAACTTATACTTCGGACGAATCTGATTGGTCGATAGAGATTTGTCAAGGTCACTGATCTGTTTATTAATGAAGTGGTCATTTCGTTTTACGTTGTTACAGTTTAGAGTCACTTAGACTGCATGAATTAATAACACACATACAATGAACCATTTAGAAAAAATTCAAAAAACAAAACACCACTTACATTTAAATATTCAGCATCCAATTTTAGGTATTCACTAGCTTTTTTCACAAATTCTTCAATAGATAAACGTACGTCTAAATGGACTTGAATTGTCCGCAATAAAGTTGATGCATTGAAGTATACACTGGTACCAGGTGTACAAGTATCATCAAAACAGCAAAGTCTAGTAGTTTTATTAAAATTAAAAAACAACAACAGACGAACGGTAAAGAACACCAACATCTATGACGCTGACAGATAATGGTAAAACAATACAAAAACCTTTAATATGAATAATTATTCCCGGACATAAAGACGAGTTTCAACAACGCCAATACTCCCTTCTTTCCAAGGTGAATTTTGTGCGAACAATTGTTTTCGATAACTACTTCTCCCGCAGGCTCTTTACACAGTTATAAATAAATCCATGAATCGATTAGAATACAACAAATAGCCGCTAGCCAACAAAGGTAAATGAAATGAAATATCAAAGGATGTATTGGACTTCGTGTATAATGATGTTGAATAATAGTAAGTCAGTCAGTTGGTTAGTTAGCACTGTCAATTGAATGTATGTATAAAATGTACAGTCATTCAGAATATAAGATAAAATGTGAATAAAGGACAACTGGGTGACACATACTAATGTATATGTAGTCAACACATGTTCTTGTCTGGCTTAGAAAAAGAGTAATGAAATCAATAAATAGTGCTACTTAATGTTATCTAGCTGACAGTGAACAGCGCATTAAAACAGATGAGTTATTATTAAAGAAGAAACCTGATCTATGTGTGCAAAAACAGCACATTTATCCTCGTCGACTGCGATGGTCTACTAGAAGGTCATGAGGGACATAATCGCCTCATATTTTCATGTTCTATTATGCCTTTCCTATTCCTTTTCACCTAGTTCTCTTTACTCCATTATTATCATCCTTATTATGTGTGTCAACCTTTGTAATTTACACCAAAGCTTATCATATCTGTAGTAGTTCATCACAATTCACAATCTAACCTATTTACTTCATCATTACACTTGTTACTTGTGAGCCCTCGCTTGAACTTACATTCAGTCTTCCCCATTTGTTGGAATTTGTTTGTATGCATTTTGTGTGTGTGATCATAGTTCTATCACGCCAATGAATGTAACTCACCCCAACCCCTTAATGAAACTTATATCCTGTGAACTACAAGCGTGGTGAGAGCTGGCTGCTAGTCAAAAATTGGTAGACAGTAATTTACGTCAGTGTTTACGTCCCCAAGATTGGTCGTGAGTAAAATTATATCAAAGACTGATTCAACAACCAATCACAACACACTTTGTTTGCGCACGCGGATACAATTTGCGGATGGATAATCTGAACTTCAATAAAAGGCCACAAACAGGAGATGAAAGATTAACGTTCATCGAGAAACCACCAATCAGGAGCCTGTGTTTTTCTGCTAGCAATAAGCTATAATAATGTACATGAAAATATATAAATATGTGTTGATTTGCTTAATAGACGATCAGTTGCCTGGCCCCTGTCTTCTGTTGCTACACAAGTACGTTGTCTTCTATTCACATTTTATCTCATATTCTGAATGACTGTACACTTTATACATACATTACGCTGACTATAATGACTAATGGACTACCATTGCATGTTACACGTGTACACACCAATACAGTCTCTCTGATATCATTTATCGGTTTAAAATCAGCCATGAAACCGATCTTGTGTCAATCAGTATGTGAGTACTGAGTGTACCAAATCACACACTCATTTAACTCAGAAACACCTTGATCCCACTGGATGATGAATGTTTTCGAATATGAGGAGATCAGTAGGTGGGTGAATGAATAAGGAAGTGTGTGCAGATCAAAACAGTAGCATTATCTTTGAAAACCATTTTGAAACCAAAATGATCAAAAGACAAAGAATAAGTCACATGATTCATTGTGAAATCAACCTCTAATACTGTGTAGTTGACACAGAATTAAATAAGCATCGTCCCCTACTACTCCATACTCCGACTATCCTAACTATCTGCGCATGCAATACCGTAACATGTAACCAACAAACATCTGTGTGTTATCTAGTAGAATTCGTCTATTGAATATAACACCAGCATGTCGGTGGGTGAGTGATTGCATCATTTAAGCGCCAATATCGGTGAAAAAACCAAAAAAACCATGCTCAGTCATCCTGGATGCCTAGGATGACAATTCAATGCGCAGTGTAATCTTAACCCTCAACTTATCCGATAATAAAGCTGGAGGCAAAGGAAAGTCGGTGTATGAAGCTGCAAACGAAAACGTACTCCAATAATGATGAAACCAACATAAAATCACACTGAATTTCTATAGGTGTTAGAGGACGGCGTGATATGGAATAAAAGCAGTGTGACGAATAGAATTGTTTCTCTGTCTGTTTTCGACATAGAACTTTGCACATATGTCCAGCAGTTCAAGTCGCCACACTCCCTCCTAGTAGCACACAAAGCAAGAGAAGAAACTAGAAGAAATGCATAATAGAGCAGTAAACAGAGGTGTGAGACAATAGAATAGTAGTGACGAAGAACAAAATAGTTTCATTGGAAATCATAAGTCACAAGGAGTGGATGCATCTGCACCAGCCATCCATTGAGAACGATTTTGAGCCATATCACCAATTGTTTCCAGTCATCGGTGGTTTTTACCGTCCCGAGGACCCCAACCAGTCAGGAAGTCTACACCTTCCTACGTGGCTTAGACTAACTGTTGTAGATTTCATTGACTGGTGCCAAGTTTTTCTTTGACCGCCGCCAGCTTTTTACCAGCCTGACCCTATATCAGCTAACATTGCTCGTCGAGGAAGGCGATGACTAGCAATACGTAACACATGTCCTGACCGTCTTAGTCGATGTAATTTCATGATCGATTGATTTCCCCTTCTTACCTAGCACTCGACCGATGCATAACCTCAATATTGCTCACCTTATTATACCATTTCAAAGGGGAGATAGAACGCAGGCACCTATGACCGAAGATAGCTAGGTTGACTTTTCATGTCTTCCACTCTCAATGGTCAGATCTCACTCGCTGGCATAAAAGAGGACGGAGCAGACTGATGAGCAGTACACCCTCCCTTTGGTCGATAGTCGGATATCACGTCTACGCCAGAGACAACGTAAACTGGCAAATGCGAAACGAGCCCCCTGTATTCGTGCTGAGATTTCGTCAGAGATCAACCCGTTGGCACTGGATGATGGTACTTCCCAAATAAGTGAAACGGTCGACGTGCTCTACCACTTCACTTCCTATTTCTAAACTAGGAGTCAGTGTAGCCCAGTCCTGTAACATCATCTTACATTTGACGGGAGCGAATCGCATGCCAAACATTCGTAGATTGCGGCTCAAGGTGTTCAGAAGACTCTGCATTTCGTCAGCGTCTTCGCCTAGAAGGACTATATCGTCTGCATATTCCAAGTCAACGAGATTATACCCTGGTAGCAAGTCAATTCCTGAGTCGCTGAAGTCACTCAGGGTTAAGTCCATTAGTAGATTTATGATGAAGTTAAATAGAAATGGGGATAATGGGCGTCCTCGACGGACACCACTAGTCGTCACCATTTCAGATGACAACTCGCCGTAATCCCTCACCTGGTGGTTATAATTATGCAGCACCAGTGGTACGTCTTACAAGCCAGGATAATCGTTATAGACAAAGAGTAGTAGATAACACGCTGGAGAGCTATTGGATTAAAATTTGAAAACTTCCCAACAATCGAGTTTGTCAACACGAATATCTATTTTTGAAAGAAATGTCGAGTGTCAGGTAAGAAGGGGAAAATCAATCGACGAGGTTGTGAAGTTCCATTGACTGGGAAAGACGTTTGAAGATAAGTGTTACGCGTGCCTAGTCTAGTTATAGCCTTCCTCTTCGGCCAGCGCGTTAGCTGCTGACATAAGATCGATCATGTTGGGAAAAGAGCTAATGCTGGCCAGAGGAAGATATGACTTCGTCAATCAATGACGCGCACGGAGGTTTCGACAGGCTGATTGGTTGGGGTCGTCGGGATGGTAAAAACCAATGAAGGCTGGAGACTAATGATGATATGGTTGAAAACCGCAGATGAATTCACTCTTCTTTGTGATCTGTCAGTCATGTCCAATAAAACTCTATTGGTGTTCCACCCAATAACTATTCTCTTTCCCTCACACTTGTGTTTATTATCTATGCGTCGGTGGCGCTGCGGTTAGCAGTCTCGCCGACCGTGCACATGGCACGGAGTTCAATCGCCAGTCGAAGCACACTTGATATCAATGGTCGGTATGCAAAATTGGGCCTATAACACGGTATAACACGCTGAAGATTCTATACTTGTACCAAAAATACGGTTTGGAATCACGCTGTCATCAACATCAAATTTTGAATCTCCTCTCTTTACACTCTTCTCTTGCTTTATGTGTGCTATATGGGGGAAGACTGGCAGCTGGAACTGGTGCACATCTGTGCAAAGTTCTATGTTGAAACCAATCAGTCGTCTTCAGGAGATAATAATCATCACCTGTACAGTGGCGGGGGTTAACGAAATTCCATTAATCAATAGTTTTCACACATGTTCATTACATTAAAGTATGACCTGTATATAATAATAATAATAATGTGTACCTTTGATTCGTCTCCAATTCATGAATGGCGGTATTACTACCCATGGCAACATCCGATGAAGACGGTTGATGTACTGAACTACTGTCAACATCCATAGCTACTAAACTTGAATCTAATTCATCTCTGTTTGATTCAGATACAAGAGAAGAAACTCGATGCTCTGTTGCTGCTGTTGTTGTTGTTTCCGCTAACTTTTCATTGAAAGGATTTATTAAACTAGGCTGTGAATTACTACGACGTCTCAAAGGATATTCATCATGTTCCGTTGACTCAATTATATTCTCCAATGATGGTGATGATGATACGGAGGATGTGGATGACAGTGAAACAGATTTTTCACTATTGTGTAAACTTCCATACTGAGCATGAATTGAACAACGTGAATCTGGTGGACTCATATCATTCGTGTTGACAGTTACATCAAAAGAATTCATTGATGCAGTGACATTATCTGACAACGGAACAAGAAGGAGATAAAAGAGGAAAAGAAAAGAAAATTAAGAAAATCTTGTTGACTGTCTGTCACACACAATGACATTACCTCAATTTGGAGTAGGAATGAACCATAGAAGATCATAAACCCACTAAACAGCTTTATGATAATTCCTACATATAGGCGACCGATAAGGAAAAACACAGCAAGACGTTATAAGTGAATACAGAAATTAGACAGGACTGTCTACCTAGTACTGATGAAATTTCTGATTGCAGCGAGAAGACAGGAATACGTTGGGTCGATAAGAACACTCTAGACGACCAGGATTTCGTGGATGATATATGACTAGTTTAGCAAAAAGTCGAAGATACCTACAGGCGAAAACCAACAAAGTAGCTGAAGAAACAGTGAAGAAGACAGAACTTCAGGTGGTAAACATAGAACAGACGGCGGTGATGAAGATAGCCAACCAACCAACCAACCAACCACTAATAAAACAATAACAAGCAAAAATCACTATCATCAACGGAAGGAATTGGAAAGATGCCACTTTCATCACACCTATCTAGGAAGCATCCTTTCAATTGCAGACGGATAGATCGGATGAGAATGCCAAAACAAGTCAGTTAGGATGGGAAAGGAAAGACGGACAGTCAGACCTTCATTAATCTTGAATAAGTTTGGAAATCTTCTATACTAGGCCTCAGCATGAGTGCGTCGATGGCACAGAGGTTGGGACGCACACCGATCATGCACATAGTTCGGGTTTTGATCCCCGGCCGACTGACGCACTCCTTTACCTCGCTAAACCAGAGATAATGCAAGCAAACAAAAGGTTTGGCATGAGGCTGTAAAATTAAACACTGCTTCAGACACTTCAAGCCACTAGTTTGAGGCCCTATTTACCACTGGGGAACGTGAAGAAGAAAAAAAGGCCTCTGCATGAACATCGAAATTAGGAATTTCTAAACCAAAGTTAAGTCAAACGGTCAGTCGAACAGACTAGTCCAGGCTTTTATCAACAGCTTCCTTCACTGGCATCATACCGAAAAGACCAGATGTCCAGTCAGAAAGGAGTATCAACAAGTAACTTTGGAAGCGAACCAATCAAGAAACTATTGCCCCTCAGATATTACGAAGAAAACAGGGGGGGGTCAGACACATGCTACTGAGGAGACTGTCGAATGACATTGCACGCCACGCCATCACTTAATTACAATTTGAATGGAGCATGAGTAAGAGGGTGACACGGATGAGATCATTCAGGAAGAGGATAAGAGACTATGCGGAACCGTGGAGGCAGCTGAAGAGGACAGCAGAGAATAAGAACGAAGTGGATACGTGTTGTTGAAGCCCTATTTTTCACTCGGAACTCAAGGCAATAATAATGATAATAGTAATTACCGCAGAAGGCATATGTGTATTTAAATATACGTGAACACCACTCAGTAAAGTCTCACTCTTGAATTCAATATTTTTTTCATACACAGGGGTAGTTATCTGATCTGCAGGACTAATCAAACCAGTAGTAGGGAGACATCAATTCACAAATATGAAAAACAGACTACATCGCAAAGCTGACATTAGGAATTTCCTAACGTAACATATGAGTACTGCCAAAGATTTGCAAAGCAGGAAGAGACAGGCAGCTCTTCATCCCAGTTCTCCATGATTTTCAATGCTTTTCAGTTTGATATCGACGCTTAAAGAAAAAGGGTACTCCATAAAATGCACAGCTTATGAGAATTACACATCATCTACATGTTGTGTCGAACACAACCCACGGGAGGGAGGGGTGGTAATTATTCGAGTCCCATTCAAAAGCATTACAGCAACACAGTAACTGATGCGTTACACAGAAGACTTGTCAGGAAGAAGATTCAACTATATGCGAAAAAATGGATAAGAACTAAATCGACATGGAAATATAAGGATAATAGCTCTACTGGATCTGGCGTGTATACGGTGATCTAAGCTAATTTCTTGATCAAATGTTAGACACTATTTCATTACACGAATGTATCATCATGATAAACTAAAAGTACAATTATAGAAAAAGAGGCAATAGTCGAAAATAAATAGATAACTGAGGTATTATAAAGAACATGACGTACAAAAAAAGTGATTCACACAAACACACACTTACCCAATGAAGCTGATGCTTTCATCATTGGAGACACAGAGTGTGAAACACTCTCAGTTTTACTTGTGATTTGATAGACATCGTGTGAATCAGATGGTGTTGAGTTCATAAACTTTGAATCACTACTACTACTACTGCCCGGTGTATCTTTGCCATTAGCCAAAAATTCACGTTGTACAAGGAATGAGGCAACTATAGTATTGAGGAATAAAAAAAATATCAATAAAGAAAAATAATGAAGGCGGATTTACTATTTCAGATTGTGGAAAATACACCCCAGCCCCCCTCAATCTACAGGACAATAAATAGATTCCAGAGAGATCTACTCACAGATCTTTGTGGAATGGTCAAAGAAACAAATTTTTTACAGTTGGATATCTGAGTCGTAAAAACAGCTTAGAAGAAGAAGAAGGTATCTTCCTTCATCAATTTTAACACCAATGAGTTAAAGAACAACAGGCTCGGTCTGACTATAACACGCAGACAAATCAAATCTACAGTTTATCCGAACAGATTCAATCTCCTCTATCTCTTAACAGTTGCCAACACAAAGCTTTAACCGCAATGCTTGGTGGTTTTTTTTTTCATGGTGAGAACGAAATCACTATCCGGGGGGAATATGCAAGTACATCCAGGTATGACGAGTCCCAAAACAAAGACGAAACATGTATCCTGGATCCTACTGCTGGCCAACATCTATCAATTTACTACAAATAATCCCACCCAATACATTGGGTAACAAAATGTAAACACAGTGGTGAACACCTTTTGTTGATGCTTATTAGAAGAACTTATATGTTTAATAGATGCGCAAACGTCTTATTCAGTGGACTAATCGCTTCACAAAGAGGAATTTATAAGAGCTACGGCATTCGAATGCTTATCATCTAGGAGTTTACAAAAGTGCAAAGTAGATCGCCTAAAATGACTCACTCACTCTACTAGCTACAAAACTAACAGTTTTTCTTGATTAACAATCAACATCAATTGTTGATAACAGTTCGTTAAAGAAATACAGGAACAAAACCAGTCACAGAATTCTGTTGACAGTTTGGTCCTGATTATCCAAAATACGTAAACACTACTGGAAAAATCCATCTGCTATCTGGCAGATTGTGAAAATATCATACGGCGACAGTAGAGAATAGGCATAACACCACCGTCATATGACCTTGATTCAGCCAATCAGATTACTCAGAATTACAAATGTATGCCTTTCGTAAAGTATGCTGCAAGTCTCACCCTGATTCACAGTAAAGGTTTAAAAAAACAAATCATTTGCAATGCTGAATACTCTGATTGGTTGGTTCAAGGTCCTTCGACTGTGGCGTCTATTCTTCGCGATTACCTGTCAAACCCAACATTTTTTACTCCTGTTTCTGTGGTCAGTTCGATTACCTGCATTCAGAGCTAAGCGATACCATACTAAAGTAAAAAATGCGCTATATTTAAAACTCCACTAAATGTACTTAAGTTGCTTTGTTATTTGAAAGTTCTTAAGAAATAGTCAGTTCAAAATACACCAGTTTGACTTCGTCTGTAAAAAAAATTTATATAGAGCAAGCTAAGTTATTTATTCTGTAGAACCTTCATGAAGCAAGCCTTCTTCAGTCTAAAAATCTTTGTGACTTCGAAATAAGCCAATCCACCTATTGAGAAAATATACAGTTAGTTTAGAATGAATACGGAGATGAGACGTACTAAGTGCATCTGTAAAGCTCTGCAGCATTACAATAAAAGCTTAATGCAGCTCCACAGGAGGTCAATCGCCAAGACAAATAGTCTAGTGGTAACGTCTCTGACTGACTGCCAAGCACTGGATGACACCGGCTGGAATCTCCGAGGGAAAATGAGTTCCTACACGATTGCAGATGCGCGCCTTTCTCACTGTTGAGTGCTAACAAGCAGTCAACCTGGGTCCAAAGTTACCTGTCGACTGCCGCCAGCCATCTAATAACAACAATTATGTGTACCGTGATGGACAGCCAGCTAAAAACTTGACTGACAGCATTCAATCTCCAGACAATCAGAGTATTTAATACAGTCCTAAGGGAGGACAATTGCGAGTTTGAATAGCTCAATAGTAACGTATCTGACTGAATACAGCACTGAAGGACGACACGCGTTCGAATCTCAGGAGGGAGACGAATCCTTCTAGAGGTGTAGATACGTTAGTCTTGCTGACTACCACGAAACCCAGGTCAAGCAAAGCTTCCTTCCGATTACCTCAAAGCATTCATCACAAGCTGATATTGCTTATAGAAACATTGGAAAACATGGGAGCATTGGACAGCTGTTTCGTCCCAATTTCGGACTCTTCATCCGTGCGTAAATCCTTGTAAACCAACACTTGAACATCTCACATAACAAGAAAAAAAATCAAAACAAAACAAGGCAAAACGAAACAAGGTGAATGTGTTAAAGCTCACTTTCTGCTTCACTTGGAATAATGACCGACAATGTTGTGTGGTATAGATATCTTTCAGCCACTGAGCATATCTTATGCAGTCGATATTTTAAATCCATGGCAGGAAGAATCTTAATGTTATTAGCATTATTATTATTACTATTATCTGTAGTCGTCACACGACTATCCGACATTTGCCATCTACCACGTTTCCCGCCAACATCACATCGTCCATTGTGCGATGGTTCTGTTAAAATATTCGAATCTGCAATCATACCATCGTTATTATTCTCATCATTATTCTCATCCTGATCAATATCCGAAGTATCAGATATTGAATGCATATCAGAATTGTTGTTCACAGGATCACAATATCCATCATATGCAGCGCCTATATCCACATAAAGATTAAATGATCCACTGGGATATGATTTTGCAAAAGTGCTACAATTCGATTGATGTGTAAAGTTGATAATTTCACTGAAAGGCGAATCAACTATACTCGATGGATAATCACAGGTGTATAAGATGACAGCCCATTCAGGTAGATGATATGCTTGATTTTGTGGCATAGAATTAGATGGACACTGACAAAAGGATTTATCCAGAATAATTTGTAATCCATTTGTAGTTGGTCCAGCAATCAACTCTTCGTCAATTGACTGTTCGCCTGTATACAACTGAAAAAAATAAGAATGTAATGATACTTATTCATCATCATAATCATTATCACCATTGTCATCAAATTGCTTGTACAATTAGGAATTAAAAGATGTCATAATAAACAGGGCAGTGTGACGGATAAAGCTCAGACAAAGTAGCATCATAACTATTGAGAAGATTGATACTGATTGTACAATTAGGGGTTATAAATGTAGAACATCAACATCAATAGACAAGATGTTTGGATAACAAAATCTAGTGGGATCATAACTAATGTGACGAATAATTGTATCCAGGATTTCGTCATGAGCTGACATCAGTTCAAGAACCACTGGAAAATCAACTGAGAGTACTGGAAAGCTGTTTCGTCCTAGTTTTGGGACTCTTAAGATAAGATAAGCTTCATTCCAAATCAGTACTTGTGATACAGAATGGAATTCTCAGCATTTTACTCTTCACCAGAACACACCCACCACCAGGGCTCGAACCCACAGCCTTCTGGTTACAGGGTGAGCTCGCCGACCATTAAGCCACTGGGACCTGATCCAATGGTTCTTGAATTCTAACTCTGCCAATTCATGACACAGCAATGTCTTCTTAGATGAGTTACTGTCTCAGATTCGACCTGCTGTACCCTACTGGTCACGGTTCCTCACCAGAACCCCAGGTTAACTGCCTCAATAGAGACGGTCGCTTGTGAGCATCAAACAAAATCCCTACAAAACCAATACTTGACGAATAACTGTTTATGCAGTTAGGGATTAAATATGTAGAAATAATAAAATAACAAAACAGACAGGAAGTTCGGATATGAAAATATGGTAGTGTAAAAAAAACAACTTAAAATAACATGAATAAACAGAAGGTTTGGATAAGAAAGTCAATAGGATAGTCATTATTAGAAAAATTACCTGTGTATGATGACCACGGCAGGGACAAGGGTTGAACGTATTTTGGATGGCTAGTGCCTCAGCTAGCCCAGATGTCTTAATTTTTCCCCTTTTCGATAGTTTTGATCGAGTCTTGTATATTGTTTTGAAGGATTTTTCGAATGGCGTTGAATGTCCTGAATTAACCAGATGTTCTGTCACTGAACTATATACCCGTTTTCGATCTCATTTTACTAGTCAGGCTGGATAGTGTTCACGAGCGCGTTTTCCAAGTTGGCGCATGGTACAGCCAAACATCCTGTCTATTGTTGGTATTTCTACATTTCTAACCCCTAATTGCACAATCAGTGTCAATTCTCTCAGTAATTTTGATGCTACTTAGTCTGAGCTTTATTCATCCCCCTGTTTGTTCTGGAATTCGCATGTATTATAAATACACGAATGTACAGCCTAGTTGATGATTTCGTCGAAAAGAAAATTTTCTTCACTGCAACTGTTTTTTTATTATTCCCTATGATTGAATGTGTATATTCCGTGACTTGTACAACTAACTACTTTTGGCACAAATAAGTACTATAAAAATGTATATACATTGATGAAAAAAACAGCTATGGTGACACATACTCAGCTAGATTTTGTTGTATGTGACGACAACGACAAGAATAACAAAGATGTATTTCACCCGAATTCAACTTGACCAGAAACATACTAATTCACAGTATTCTTGGATGATCATTGATTATCGGTGTGATTACAAGTTGACGTCAGTTAGATAATTCTTGGAACCAGTGGAGTTCACTAGATCAGGTAAGAGAACAGCTATTCACCAATAGCAGAGATTGAGATTCATGGGTAATTATTATTGAGTCGCGTCCCAGTGACTGAAAGATTTACAGGTGCTCGTCTTGTAATTGGAATGTTCTGTATTCGAACCCTAGAGGTGGATGTGTACTGGTGAGGAAAGTCCCACCAAAACCCTCCTTTGAGTATTTTGATCAGTTTAAAATGGCAGAAGGCTTTTTCTTTTCACTTATACTGATCTACGATTAGTATTGTTGGTTGATGAATAAAACACAATGGTGTGGTATACTTAACACAACAGTCGGGAATTAAATGGTATCATCGGATGGCTTATTTAACAATTAGTTTTATTTTCCAAAACGCACATACATGTATCATCAATTAAAAAACTGTAAATGTGTGATCTGGCTGCTTGATTCCATAAATACGGTAATCAAGAGAGCAAGCTGAAGATGAGCTCGACGCCAAACGAGCGATCTGGCTAGCTACCAAGAACTGCTGGTTAATATGAGTGGTGTACTACAACTACTAATTTCTTGAATCGATCGATAGTATTGTAACGACAGAAGGCAAGAGTCAGGCAACAGATCGTTTATCATTTATAGACTTTTATGTACATTATTATTAGCGTTTATGTTAGCAGAGAAACAGCGTCTTCTGATTGGTTGTTTTCGGCTTTAAGTTAATATGTCATCTCTCCGTGACCATTTACTTGAAGGTCATACCATATATATATATATATATATATATATATATATATATATATATATATGCGAATCATATCCGCCCACGCGAAGTCTTTGTTCTTGTGCTTTTCACATGACCAATATTTGGGACGTAAACAACATTCACGTAAATTGTCTGTCTGTCTGGATTCAACATAGAACTTGGCACCGAAGTGCAGCAGTTCGAGTTGCCACGTTCCAAATAGCACACAGAGGTAGACAAGAAGATGAGTGAAGAGAATTAATAGAGTTTGACAAATATAAGAGTGAAACAGAATGGGTAATGGTAGAAAGGAATATGAAAGATTACAGAGATTGAATACATCTGCGCCATTGACAACGATTTTGAGCCATGTCACCTATTGTCTCCAGCCATTGATTCCTAGAGTCCCGAGGGCCCCAACCCGGGAGTCTGCATCTCCCTACCTGACTCAGTTTAACTGTCAAGGATTTCATGGATTGATGCCATGTTTTTGTTTGGCCACCACTGGCTCTTTTCCAACCTGAACCTATATCAGCTAACAATGCCCGTCGGGGGAGGCGGTGGTTAGGCATGCGCACCACGTGACCTAGCCATCTTAGTCTATGTAACTTTATAACCTCGTCGATTGATTTTCCCTCTTTGCCCAACACTCTACGCCTAACGTCAACATTACTTACCTTATTAAACCACCTAACGTGAGACAGAGATCGCAGACATCTATGATCGAAAGCAGTCAACCTTTTCATGTCTTCAACGCGTATTGGCCATGTTTCAGAGCCATAGAGAAGGACGGAGCGAACTGATGAGCAGTACACACGTCCCTTGGTTGATAACCGGATGTCACGCCTACGCCAGAGATGGTGTAAGTCAGCGAAAGCAGCTCGAGCTTTTCGGATCCGTGCTGAGATTTCATCGCCAATCAGTCCGTTGGTGCTAATACAACTTCCCAAGTAGGTGAAGTGGTCAACATGTTCTATCACTTCACTCCCTATCACTAAGTTAGGGGTTGACGTCGTCCAGTCCTGTAGCAGCATCTTACATTTTGCAGGGGCGAATCGCATGCCAAACATACGAAGATTGCTGCTCAAGGTGTTCAGAAGACTCTGCATTTTGTCAGCATCCTCCCCTAACAGGACTATGTCATCTGCATATTCTAAGTCCATTAGATTATTCCCTGGTAACAAGTCGATTCCTAAGTCACTACGTTCAGTTAAGGATACTTCCATTAGCATATCTATGATGAAGTTAAACAGAAATGGGGAAAGTGGACATCCCTGTCGGACACCACTGGTTGTTACTAATTCAGATGACAATTCCCCATAAGCCCTTACACGACTACGTGAGTTTGAATAGAGTGCCTTGATTAGTGCAATGTACTTTCTTGGCACTCCCTTCACAGTCAGACATTGCCATAGTACTTTTCGGTCCACGGAGTCGAAGGCCGCCTTCAAGTCAAGAAATATGACAATTGTTGGACGCCGAAAAGTGTGTCTATGTTCTAGAATCTGTCGAAGAGTGAAGATATGATCTATGCACCCTCTACCTGGTCTAAAGCCTGCTTGATTTTCCCTTGTCTGTTCCTCCCGAGTTCTGCTTAGTCTATGCATGATTACTGAGCCTAGGATTTTAGAGACTATGTTCGTTAGGCTGATCCCCCTATGATTATCACACGAGGACTTGTTTCCCTTCTTGAATATCGGTATAATGAGTGACTTACCCCAGTCTGATGGTACTGTCTCTGATTCCCAGACTTTGCCTAGTACCTCAGTTAATCTACAAACTAGTATGTCACCCCCATATTTAAACACCTCCGGAATAATTCCGTCGGGTCCTGCCGCTTTGCCTCGTTTCAAATTACTGATAGCTTTTGTAACCTCACCTACAGACGGCGGACCAGTGTCTATATCCCATTCGGGTACGTGGTGGATGGCGGGGAGGTTCAGTGTGGCTGTAGGCAAGTTAAATTGTTCCTCAAAGTGTTCTTTCCAGCGTTCAAGGCGTCTATCCTGAGAGCTAATTAAGGAGCCATTTTTCTCAGAAATAGTCTCACTTATGAATTGCCTTTTCCCGCCCGATTCTGTGATGAGTCTAAAGAGTTGCCTAGTGTTGCCTATCGCCAATGCTTTTTCCATCTCTTTCGCCTTTGTCACCCACCACTGTTCACGGTCTTTGCGGAGACTTTTAGTAAGTTTCCTTTTGTGCAGCTTTCGCTCCTCATTGAATTCGGAGCAGTTCACGTAAATTGCTGTCTATCACTTTTCGTTAGCAGACAGCTCTCTCACCACAGTAGCAGTAGTATAGTTTTATGCAAGTATAGTCAACACCAGAAAATAATCAATGTCAACTGCTTAAAAACTCGCGTTAAAATGATACATGGAACACAATGAAAAGTCAAACTAGCTTTGAACGAGTAAGTGTCCAGCAGCAGCCTAATTACTTAACATTACCTAGTCAAAGGATGGATATTTAAGAGCAGAATCAAGTAAATCTTCATAAGTCTGACACATATTTTATCAATATTTCATAAGGAGATACAAAAGATGAATAAGGTTAGAATTCATTAAACGCTTCATAAATGAATAATCTAAAGGTAGCAGTTAATGATTATAGTTGATGAATACATGAAAGTTCGGATTGATCGACGTAATCAATTTCAAAGTTATTCTCGAGCTGTAGTATTTCTGCATATATTATATAATTTGGGACAGGGTAACAAAAAGTGAACGATAACAATAATTATTATTATTTCCTTCATTCCTAGAGGAACATAGGGCTTCAGTCACACGTCTCCATTGCGTTCGGTTCTCTGCTAATGTTTTATCCAAGTCTGTCTATATACTTTTATCTCCTCTTCATATGACCTCCTCCAAGTTACCCTTGGACAACCGACTCACCACTTCCCTTTCGGGTTCCACTCAAGCAATGGTTTTTCTAGTGATGTCACTTGATGGTTTCCTCAGCGTATGGCCGATCAATCTCCATTTCTTCCTGTTTATTTGATGCAAAATCGGTTCATGGCTGGTTTGCTCCCAGAGATCCCTGTTTCTGATCTTTTCTCGCTGGCCATCTGATTTTGAGCGACACAGCCTATTCACAGCAGAATTATTCGGATCTATGGTCTGGATGCCCATAATCATATGAGTTACATGTTTAGAATTTCTAAAGTTTTATGTCTTAACATACTAACTCCAGAATGAATACATGTCAGCTGGAGGGGGATCCAGAGACGACAACAGACATGCTGACCCCATTATTGCAAAACGTCTGGAGGGAGGGAAAGGTGTTTGCTGATTGGAGGAAAGGTTACCTCGTGAAACTACCCAAGGAAGGCGACTTAGGACTCTGCAAGAACTGGTGAGGAATCGTGCTGCTATCAACGTAAGGTAAAATCCTGAGTCGCACCATCCTGGAGGGAATACAGGACGCACTGGATACAGAACTCCGAACAGAACAAGCTGGATTCAGAAAAGCCAAATCATTATTATTATTATATCCTTTAATTCCTAGAGGAACATAGAGCTTCATCTGCGCGTCTCCATTGCGTTCGGTTCTCTGCCAACGTTTTCATCTGGCTCCAAGTCTGCCCACATGCTTTCATCTTTTCTTCACATGACCTACTCCAACTCACCCTTGCACTGACAACCAACTCGCCACCTCCCTACCGGGTTCCACTCGAGCGATGGCTTGTCTAGTAATGTCACTTCATGGTTTCCTCTGAGTATGGCCGATCCACCTCCATTACGTAACTGACACTTTCCTTCCTTTAGAGACGAATCTGGCAGTTATCATCCTGGGCGAGATAGCCTCCCATTGCACCAGAGCCTTCGTTGCCGCTGGTGACATCATGATAGCCACGCCCTCGGTGTGCATGTGGTTGCCTTCTGGGTGACCAGAGTAGATCACTGACTCACCCTTTGACAATTTAGTGAGCCTATTCCTGTTCCATCTGCTTTCACATATTCCCAGTACTTGAATTCTGTATCTTTTCATCTCGTTCGCAATCTGGGTAGCTTTGCCAATCTCGTACATGGTGCGGACGTTCCATGTCTTTTTCATTTGGCGCAAGGAGATTTATCGTAGCAACCTTGTTTATAGGGTGGGGTTGCCTGAGAAGGGGGTTGTTACATTAAAATATAGTTTACAGAGTAGCGACCTTGAGGGTTGCTTCTTTTAAAATCAGGAAAACAAGGAATAAAGCAACCAGGGCAACACCAGCAAGAGGAAAATAATTCACAACAAGAAGGTCAGCGACATTAACAATAAAAAATAACCTTAGCAGTAGTACCACAGTCAGATACAGTTAACGAAAATGATACCAAAGTGATAGACTCACTGACTTGAGCCAACTTAGACATGTAAATCCATCATTATATACAGTTAGTTTTAGACAGTCACAAAATGACAAGCAGATAGTTATAGGTAATATCAGTCAACAAGATTATATCCACAGATTCAGTGTTTGAAAGGCAAATAATTACAATAAGTTTCACAACTTCTTGGTAAGAAATTCCAAAGAAACAAGAGTTTTATGTAACCGAGTCAATATAGCTTAACAAAAGGTAAACGATAATAGACTATTGTTATTATTAATAATATTCCCTTGGACTCCAAGTGGAACATAGGACATCAACAGCAAATCTTCCTTTTGTCCAATTCTCTGTGGTGCTCTTCACCCAGCGAGGTAATCACACAAAGTATCGCATCTTTCCCACCTCCAAACGATAGGCGCCATGTCACGGAGTCTAGAAAACACACACTCGACTCATTGTTTAGCATTCGGGTTGCACTCGACCAATGACATTCAACCGTCTCCTCACCATCTCCATTTTCTTTCTCATTTTTCTTGGTCGTTGGCTCGTTCTCAGGGTTCCATGCTGACAGTCATTTCTAATTCGAAATTCGATCTTTCATATGGGCCCACTGAAGGAAACTATTGACAAAAGTCTGAGCTGGCTTGCAGGAACTCCACACCTTTTGTGGAGAGAAGAAATGACTGGCTTGACATTACTGTTGAAAATTCGAATTTCATTCCTTATTCTGAGTGAGTGCAGTCCGTGCTACTTTTCGCATCCTGACCGACTGACTGACTCGGCATTAAAATTCTCAACCGTGCTGTCTGTCTGTAATCGAAGGAGAGGAAGTGACCTCACCATTGGTTGGTTATTTTCATCACATCCATCTTCTCGATGTTCATCACATGAAATCCTGTCTTTCCTGTTGCTCCTACTGATTTCTTATTTATCCCTCTAAAGGTGTCTTCGAGTCTGTGTGACATTGAAAACAGATCATCCACAACATCCAGAGTGTCTATAGTCTTTTCGTCACTCCAACGTACTCTCATCTTACGGTTTTACGGGTTTCCCCACAGTCTGACGTGACGCATAAACTATAGATGATAATTTGATATTGTCAAGCGTATGAATGATGTAGGCAGACATTAAAATTTTGACAAATATGCTTTCTTATGCTATAAACAGATCGATGTATCACGTGACATCACACACACACACATCTATTTTAACTGTGATATAAAACGAATAGGCGTAGATGTAAAAATATATCAACTTAGTTACCTACCTATGCCACCAGTCACATCTACAAGCCCCAACTGCTTACGAAATTTTACTGTTATCAGCACAGATAAAGAATTAAACTTATCAGTACATGTAAGTAAACCAGTTGAAATGTTATGATATTTTATTTGAACTTTACATTGGACACTAGTAACTAGTGTGACGTGTCTAGTTTTTTTCTTTTGGTGCAGACTGAATTCTGTCAGTCAGGTTTGTAATGCAGCCACCATTCTAGGTAGCTCGCCATCACTGTACACATTGATTTGATGATACTAGATGGTTGGAGGCAATCGGCCTCAGGAAGCCTTGTACCTAGGTTTCGTGCTAGTTGGCACTCACCAGTCAGCAAGCTGTATCTGCAACATTGGATAAATACATATCCCTTCTGAGATTCGAACCGGTGTCCCCCAGTGCTGTAGTCACAGACGCTACCACTGAACTATTCGGGCTCTGGTAACGTCTCTGACCGCAGAACTCACTGAGTGACGCGGGTTTGAATCTCAGAAGGGACATGAGTTCCTTCAAGGTTGGAGATATGCCTTGCTGACTGGTGAGTGACAACTAGCACGAAACCTAGGTCCAAGGCTTCCTGAGGCCGATTGCCTCCAACTATCCAATATCATCAAATTTATTTGATCTATTCCACAATGCTCAAACTATTTCACTGGCAATAACTAAACATCCCTGTTGAACTACATGAGTTTAAAAAGCATAGGGGATAAAACTGTTGTGGTGAGAGCTGGCTGCGAACAAGGCAAAAATTGTAGGCAACAATTTACGTCAATGTTCACGTCCATAATCGGTGTCATGAGAAAAACCAATAACAAAGCTTAACCTTGAGGAACTCACCAACGAATCATAGCAGACTTAATGTGTGTAAATACGATTCGCAGATATATGACTTAACTTTCTGAGAAATGGTCACACAAGCAGTACAGAATAACTTTCAGCAAGAAAACAATCAATGAAAAAGGCGTTGCTTCTCCCCTAACAATAATGTACATAAAAATCTAAAAATATCTCCTGATTTTCTAAATAAACGATCTGTTGCCTGGCCCTCGTCTTCTGTCGTTAGACTACTTATTAAAAAGTGACTTCATTTTTGTCATATTGTTCGTAGATAACTGATCGACTATAATAAGAATTCCAGTTTGAAAACTCTTATTAAGCGGTGTACACTTTAACCTCTTCAGCGAATGTCATTGTTCCGTCAAATTAGTAGATGACTCTAGAAGGTTAGGTCTCGTTATCACGTATGTCAACTGACCGGCACAGACGCTGAAAAGGGTACTTACAGTTAGTTGGTGATAATAACAATAATTCACCGATTGCATCACCAATGGACATATACATCCGTGACAAACCCCTATATACACATATTGACGAATATTTTCGAAACTGATTATGGAACCACTACTCCTACTAGTCTCCTTGATGATTTATTAAAGTTGATGTTCAATCTAAACTGACAGAGGTAAAGATCAGAGGAAGAAACACATTTCTGTCTATACAATGAGAAAAAAAACTCACCTGCCAAATTTCGAAAATTAAATCATACACGGAACCAGATAACGGTAACCAAATCTTTTCCGACGGGTAAATTACATCACAGGTGAAGTCAACACGGCTGACATTGAAAGTGATACCTGGAGAAATGAAAAAATAAGAGAATAAAACACCGAATTCACCCCCCCCCACACACACACCACCACCACACAGACACACACTTGAAATTAGATTGTCGCTTAATTTGTAAATTAACAAACAAAACACATATTCTCACACAGTAGCAAGTATTTTGTTAAGAAATATTAATCAATATAACAACACACTTATTTATGAGATACCATGTGTGTATAAACTACCTTAGCTTTGTTTACTGGACAAAGAGCAATGTATGTTTTAGCTTTTTATAATTTATATCACGTGACCAACCAATACAGCGTATTTGATACCCTAATAAATTCTAGACACTAACTAACTGACTATGACGAGACATTTGAAACATTTACGAGCGTATTATAGACTGTATATGAAGCATTTTCAAGAGTTTGCGCTTATACGGATTTCATTTGTACATCAGGTTTGAACACAGATTGAAAAGTAGCACTGGAATACAGGAGAGATGCTTAGTCATACTAGTTGGGACTCATCACCAGTGCACACCCCCACCATTACATTGGGGTTCCAGCCCAGGACCTACCAGTTACAAGGCAAGCTAGTAGACCATTCAACTAGTGGTACCCAACGCAATAGTCAATCTATGAATTCTAATTTCTACTATTTTATGATTTTAGCGCGACTGGCACCAGCTAATGTCATCATCTGTGACGAGTACTGGTCCCCATTCCCGACTGGATGGCCCCCACTGTTGACGACCTGCCACTAGAACTCCAGTCACCTTTGTCCTGAAGCGAGCATCAGATTCATTTTCAAGAGATTTTTGTTGTAGAAATTTGATATGTTTAAGTTCAGGTTTGCCCGCAGATTGATATCAGTTAGGGAAGCATTGAAAAACCAGCACTAGACTACTGGACGCTTGTTTCGTTAGCCTAGTTCGGGTCTCATCGGACAAATACTCACCGACAACACTGCCTGGTGGTAGTCACTCTAATATCACGAATTGGTAGAAGTTAGAATTCATGAGCTAGCCATCGAGTTGTCTCCCATTGGTTGAATGGCCAACGAGCTTTTGTTGTAACCGAAAGGTTCTGGGTTTGAAACCCGGTAACCAGTGTGTCAACTTAGTCGACATCACTTTTTGCAAGGAAGTCGAATAAATTACCGGGGTAAATCCACAAGAAATATATAAAACATGTGCACAATGTGAAGTTTAGTAAAACTGAAAACGAAACTGATTGAATGAAAAAGTATGATTGACATATCGTTTCGCATAACGCGGCTGTTTGTGTGCACAAGTGCAGTATACTACAGTTATTGCCACACTCTGCAGCCATAAGCATACGGAAGTAAAGGTTTTAGCCAAACCACCTACATTTCTTTACGTGGCTCAAACAAAACAATGAGAGAATTCATCGATTGATGCTATGTTCCGATTTAATTAAAATATCAGCTAACATTCGCTGTAGAGGAAGCCGGTGGTTTGCTTGACATGTATAATATATTCCAGCTATCATAAGTGATGCTTCCCTCTAACTGACCACATAGTACTACCGTAAAGGAAATACTTTAAGCATCCTTCGGTAGACACAAATATTAAATAACCGCGCCGCAAATGACACAAAGTGGTATACGCTGGACGAGCCCTGTATATTTGTGGATTATTTTCACAGGATATTCGGGAGATAGCATTTTCCAACATCTTCATATAAAAGGATTTTATTTACAGTGGGTAACAGGCTAATCTTTGGGAACTCAGAATCCGAAAAGCTCGAGCTGCTTTCGCTGACTTACACCATCTCTGGCGTAGGCGTGACATCCGGTTATCAACCAAGGACGTGTGTACTGCTCATCAGTTCGCTCCGTCCTTCTCTATGGCTCTGAAACATGGCCAATACGCGTTGAAGACATGAAAAGGTTGACTGCTTTCGATCATAGATGTCTGCGATCTGTGTCTCACGTTAGGTGGTTTCACAAGATAAGTAATGTTGACGTTAGGCGTAGAGTGTTGGGCAAAGAGGGAAAATCAATCGACAAGGCTACAAAGTTACATAGATTGAGATGGCTAGGTCACGTGCTGCGCATGCCTAACCACCGCCTCCCCCGACGGGCTTTGCTAGCTGATATAGGTTCAGGTTGGAAAAGAGCCAGTGGTGGCCAAACAAAAACATGGCATCAATCCATGAAATCCTTGACAGTTAAACTGAGTCAGGTAGGGAGATGCAGACTCCCGGGTTGGGGCCCTCGGGACTCTAGGAATCAATGGCTGGAGACAGTAGGTGACATGGCTCAAAATCGTTGTCAATGGCGCAGATGTATTCAGTCTCTGTAATCTTTCATATTCCTTTCTACAATTACCCACTCTGTTTCACTCTTATATTTGTCAAACTCTATTGATTCTCTTCACTCATCTTCTTGTCTACCTTGTGTGCCAATTGGAACGTGGCAACTCGAACTGCTGCACTTCGGAGTCAAGTTCTATGTTGAATCCAGACAGACAGAACTCAGAACCGACCATAGTCACATTAGTCTGTGTGTTCATATGGAAACTATGGCGATTATTAAAGGACTCCGTAATGTTGCAGACAGTGCAGATGACATCTACCTACATACGTTCGTAAATAGAGTAGTACGACAATAAGCAGACAACTTTGATAAGTAGACCAAGCTGTTTCGACCGTCGTTTCACACCTGAACCTTAATATTAAGTATCACTGGATCGATAGAATTAAATGTTAATTTAGCGTCAAATGTTCAATGGTTATATTACTTGTTTTCCGTAAACTATCGGAGAGAGTGGGGATTAGTTGGCTGCACGTCTACCCTAGACCTGAGCACTTTTTTCCCAGATTTATTTTTCCAAATTCCTATATGTAGACGACTATGGGAACTGGATATAAGTATAAAACTTGGGCACTGTGGTAGAATATAACTCCATTATGGATAACATTTTATTTTGACAAATCACACAGTTGTGTGAGTAGTGCCTTGATATGATTATGAGTGGCAATAGTTTGTGCTGTGTGACACCTTATCAAAATGAAATCTTATCCATTATGGAGTTATGGGAACTGTAGTTACGGATACCATGTTCATCAAGCTGACCGATCCTCCATGATAATTACAACCGAAAGATCTGCTGCTTTTCTTATAAACTGGAAATACACACAATCTAGACCCCAGTCCGATAAAACTGTTATGGATCTTCACACAATTAGTTGGTACCAGGGGTTCATCTTGTGAGTAATTCATTTTCACACCTCTGATATTGTAACTTCAAGCCCTCCTGCATTGCCATGTGTCGTCACGTTTCCAGCTACAAGGAAGTGGTTTACATCCCTGCAAGGATATTTTATCCAGACTTCAATCCACCTTTTTGAGAGGTTTTTGAAGATACATTTTCCCCGGAGATTGTTTCATGATTTACCATAACCCGCTTTTATAATAAGCCTACTTTATTATTGATTTTTCCAGTTCTCTTGAAATCGCTAGTCTCCAATCTAAGTTGAACTATGTTTTGTAGCTTACAACTGCTGATTTTAACTTTGTAATGAATTGTTAACTTTATTCTGTTCCAGGTAAGATGACAAAAAGCCAGGTGTTAATTGAAGAAAAAAAAATTTGTTGACACATTATTACATAATTTGTTGAAGGATGTAGTGTACAATCTGGATTTCTATTGCCGACAAGTCTACGCATACATTTATAGTTTTGAAGAAGGAAAGTGTGACAAACAACACATTGGAGAAATTCAATAAAGCACATGCTGCCTTCACTTTTACCACAGAATAAAATGACTCCAGCAAGTTTCTGGATGTCCTGATGACTAAACGAGCATATGGACCAATATGCTGTAGACGATTGCATCGAAAACTTACACCGATTGGGCAATATACTCACATTCTGAGTTTCACCCCTTTACAATACAAACGTGATTTGGTTGCGTGCTTGGTTAACCGGGCTGAAGTAGTTAATAGTTCAAATGAAACATTGAAGGAAGAACTAGGTAATATTCGTGATCATCTACCAAGTACAAACGGATATCCAACAAAATTTCTAAATAAAGACCCAAGAACTCAACAGGTAAACAGCTAAAGATGCCTATAGTTCCTGGAATAACCAGTGTTGTTAAAACTGCGATTCACGTGAGATGTTAATAGTTAGAAGGGTCTTCAAAAGGACTGTTAATGCAGCCAAGATAAACTGTTCTGTTCACCTGCTCCATAAGTATTTTCCAGTTTAAATGTTCGTCCGGAAGTAGTAACATTGGGTGTACGATCTTCGTATCTCTCAACACCTACCAACTTCGTTTGGCAAAGCCTAGAATAATAAAGCTATACTTGCTCATCTCGTCGATACTGGACATCAAACCGACACTCAAGCAAAGCTTTTGATGCTATTCATCGTATTCACCCAACCTTTCGCATTCGATGTGAGTACAGCAGCTTTTACATACACTAGAGGCAATCGGAATGTACATCTGAACAAGTCAAATCTGTGTGTGTTCAGAAGAAATCTGTGCAACCGCTTTCTTTGAAATGATTAAGTACATATAACATGTATTAAATTTTCAAACGACTTTCCTTTCCCCCTTGTAGCTATTTTTTGACTTTATTGTATTAATTGTTTGAATCTTACGTAACGCTTCTGAGTCATCTGATTCTTCTTAGTCATCATGGCTATTTTACAAATCTCTAGATTGTGTAATAGCTCGTTGGCAATGCCTAAAAATTACCTCATCTTAAATTCCTTGATTATTTTGATGACCTTTAACCTCTTAGCTTCACCCTCTATATCTAAAACTGATAAACTAAGATAACCACATGTTTCAGACAATTTTGATGTAAGAAACTATATTTACTGGTGTAGAACCAGCCGAGGATTAGGAACTAACTGAAAAGGAGTGGATATTTTTTTCGCTCAGTTTGTTGTTTTTGTTTCGCAAGTATTGGTTTTGTAGGGATTTTGTTCAATTGGATGGAGGATGTCATCATGAGCTGACATCAGAGAGTGGTGAGAGTTAGCTGCTAGCCAAATTGGTAGATATTAATTTACGTCAACATTAACGTCTCCAATATTGGTCGTGAGAAAATTAAGAACAAAGACTGATTCAACAACCGACCAAAGCAGACTTTGCGTAGGTGGATACAATTTTCAGAAAGATAATCTGGCATTCACGAAACAGCCACAAAGAGATGACAGAATAACTTTCAGCGGGAAAACAACCAATCAGAAGACTGTGTTTGTTTGCTTACAATAATCTATAATAACGTGCATGAAAATCTATAAATACCTGTTGATTTCGTAAATAAAAGAACTGTTGCCTGGCCCTTGTCTTCTGTTGTTACAAGAGAACTAGTGGAAAACCTGGGAGTACTGGATAGCTGTCTCCTCCGTCCCAGTTTGAGGCTCTTCATCGGTACTCACCCACCACCAGGGTTCGAACCCGGGACCTTCTGGTTACAAGGTGAGCTAGCTCGTAGACCATTGAGCCACTGGGACCCGATACAATAGCCAGCCCATGAATTCTAACTTCTGCTAATTCACGACATAAGGCAACCATTTTGCAATGTGTAAATGATAAAAGTCTCAAAAAGTTGGTTGACAACACAGAAGTAGTCATGGAAGGCAACAAAGTGAACACACATGAATGAGTGGGGAGAATAAAAAAAATAATAATAAAGGAAACTTACCTCCAGGTTCATAAGTGCGCCACACCTGTGGAACTGGTTGAGATATACTACTACTACTACCAGAGAAAAGGTGCTTCACTGAACCAGGCACGTGTATATGATGCTCAAGCCATAGAGGAAAAGGATAATAGGCTTTATTGTTTGAAAATTCACCAACAGTCACCATATCCATAGGCATTGATGATTCCGTCTCATTAGAATGTGAACCCTATTCATATAGTGTAGAGAGAAAACAATACAATACACGTGTACACAAAATCAACATCATGTACATACACATAAATGGTGACTATACAAAGTTGACTGATAGAAATTAATTCCACACCAAAACAAACGACTAGACTCATAACACTAGTTGCCAACTAGTGTGCCATCAAAGTATCCAATACACTCCAATTGGATGCTAATCGTGAGCTTGAATAGCTCAATGGTAATGTCTTTGACTCCAGTCTTAGTTGGTATGGTTTCGAATTTCAGAAGGCGGGGGAGAGGGGGGGTAGAATGAAACCTTCCAACATAGCAGATACGCCTTGATAACTATTGAGTGACACCAAGAATGAAACCCGCATCAGGTAGGACTTCTTTCCAATTGCCTCCAACTCTCTAATATTAACAATTCACAATGTTCAACTTGTAACATAAAGGGATCTTCAGGTGCACGCTCGACATACAAGGAGGGGGATGTGAAGACAATTAGTATTACAATGGGAGATGTAAAACTGATAAGCAAACTAACTAACTAACTACATTGAATTAATCATCGAAAACGAGACACATGTGAGTGTTTTTCAGGTCATGTTCAAATAAATAAGGTGAAGTGAGTGTGAGAGATTAAAATTAAGGTAAAGTGTATCACGGCTCAATTACATCACTTAAATAAACAGTTTGTTATCCGAGAAAGAGCTTAAATATATCAAGCATTGCGAAAAGAATAATATTAATGATAATAATAATTTTAAAACGAGTTAAGATTATGGTACTAGTAAAGAGTCGCTTTTAAATGAATCAGGAGTAATAATAAGAGGTAGAATAAAGTATTAATAATATTAATAATAATAGTAATAACAGTTAATTATTATTATTCCCTTTAGTACCGAATGGAACAACAACACATCCCCCACTTTGTCCTATCTTCTGCCGCCCTCTTCAGCTTGGACCATGATTGTTCACAATCTCTCATTTCTCCCCTATAGCAGTTAATAAGTAAGACATATTACTGTCTGTCTGTCTGTTTTCGACATAGAACTTTGCACAAATGTGCGGAAGTTCAAGTCGCCACATTCCGTGTAGCACGCGAAGCAAGAGAAGAAAGTACAAGAAAAGCACAATAGAAACAGTAAACAGAGGTGTGAGACAAAGGAGTAATAACGAAGAATAAAACAGTTTCATTGAAGATCATAAGTCACAGGGAGTGGATGCATCTGCGCCACTGAGAACGATTTTGAGCCATGTCACCAATTGTTTCCAACCATAGATTTTTACCGTCCCAGGACCCCAAACAGGAAGCCAGTCTACACCTTCCTACGTGGCTTAGACCAACTGTTGTGGATTTCATTGACTGATGCCAAGTTTTTGTTTGACCGCCGCTAGCTTTTTTCCAGCCTGACCCTATATCCGCTAACATTGCTCGTCGAGGGAGGCGATGGCTTGGCATACATAACACATGTCCTAACCATCTCAGTCTTTGTAGCTTCACGACTTCGTCGATTGATTTCCCCTGTTTACCTAGAACTCTACGCCTAACCTCCATGTTGCTCACCTTATTATGCCACTTTACACGGGAAATACTGTGGTAGGTTCAGAGTGGCCACCATTTCTTTATATGCACACAGAGACCTGATTTATAAACTCTAAGTAGACAAGTCCCACAATTCTAAGCATCTTCCTGTTTCTTTGTCTGCTGACAACAGTGAATGTCTTGACAGCATCGATACCATGTCTATAGTCTACAAAATGGATTGTTAATACACTTTTTGGCGACACGGACGACTTCGTTGTTTTCAACCCTTTTAGTGGATGCTCCATCATGCTAGTAGACAATCGCCTTTCTGTACGACCTAGGCATTTGCTTACTCCCACAAACACATCCATCAAACTGATATATCCATTATGAAGTTTCGAGGATTACGCCACTGATTCTCCGCAGATGGTTGAAGTACCCGGTTGTCGGCGGTGTTAAGGAAGACGAGTTTTGCAGCATATAATAATCTCTCTTGATATCTTTATCGAATCTCCGTTTGACTGTCTGTCTGGATTCAACATAGAACTTGGCACCGAAGTGCACCAGTTCGAGTTGCCACGTTCCAAATGGCACACAGAGGTAGACAAGAAGATGAGTGAAGAGAATCAATACAGTCTGACAAGCATAAGAGTGAAACAGGATGGGTAATGGTAGAAAGCAATATGAAAGATTACAGAGACTGAATACATCTGCGCTGGCCATTGACAACGATTTTGAGCCATGTCACCTATTGTCTGCAGCCATTGATTCCTAGAGTCCCGAGGGCCCCAACCCGGAAGTCTACATCTTCCTACCTGACTCAGTTTAACTGTCAAGGTAGGGAAATGCACACTTCCGGGTTGGGGCCCTCGAGACTGTAGGAATCAATGGCTGAGACTACTTCTTATACACTATCTTCTTTGGAACTCTGCATAGTTTTGCTGGGGTTTATTTCTTTAGAGTACTTATTAATGAACCTAACACTCCAGGATATCCATTATTATATAAAATATCCATCAAAGTCGCTTTTTTCATGTTCAACTGTACTGTCTGAACAAATTTTGCGTGCTCTATTGAACAGCGTTCTGCCTTAGTTCTTTTTTATACACTGGATTGGAACAAAACTTTTGAAATGTATACATTATCCCGTGTCTACGAAAACTTTCTAAATATAGATCTTTCCATTTTGCCATTAGTTCTTTTCACTAAAGAAACATCTAGGAATTAAATGGCATCAGTTTCCTCGTGTTCTATTGTGAAATTGAGATTCTGATGATATGAGCTGAATTTGGTCAATATTTCTTCAGCTTTTGGCTTTTTCTCACTGGCAATAAAAATATCACCAACATATCTTAAGGTTTAATTCCATTTGTTGTATATGCTGTTTTAAAATGCCGGCTCCTAGACTTGACAAGAATAAATCGGTAGAAAGTGGTCGCCAGGTGGGTGCTTCCCATCGCAACACCCTTCACTTGACGGAATAAACGTTCATCGAATTTAAATTTAAATCGTACTCCGGTAAATCACAAACACCACCCCACTAGAAAGAACTAGATGTATCTTATCTATGTAAACTTGCGATTATTCGACGGACACAAAGTCGGCAGAAACTCTACTATTTCCTTGAGAAGGACCTTGATCTCATCCAAACTTTGACTCACCCTCTCCACAGAACTAATGATTTGAGTAATTCCACTGGAAAGTACTTATATTAGCTTCCTTATGATAAGTAAACGTAGGTTAATATCTCAGAACTGGAAGTATAGTCAACTTGAGAGATAGTCGACCAGGTTTCAGAAATTCTGTACCCCAAATTCAGTATTTTTACATCATTCAATCTCTGTCCAATATTTTCGTGGTGATAAGCTCATCTCGTAACAACATGACAGTTACACTCATAAGGAAACGAAGGCGCGACAACCTTCAAAAATGCTAGATAGTTAGTGACCAAAATACTGTGACACAGTAATGAAAAACTAACAACTATATAGTGGCGTCGGTGGCACAGCGGAAGAATGCTCACCAACCACGCAGGTACTTCGGGTTACGATCCCCGGTCGACGCTAAGCCAACAATAGGACTGGTAAAGAGGAATGGCTAAACATGAGGTTAGCAACCCCACTCCGTAAAAATAAACACCATTGCCACAGAAACCTCAAGTCTTTAGCTTGAAGCCGCCCCATGTTCCACCGGGAACATGAAGGAATTTTAAAAAAGTATAGTGGAGAAGGTTTGTAGCACAGATGGATGATTTTGGTGTGGTTGTATTCTCTGGTCTGGATGGCCTACTTGAGAGGCTTCTCTTACTAAGCGACATCCTCAAGTGCATACATTTAAAGTTCCCCAGAAGTTTATTAGTCATCTCCCCTGGTAACCTTCAGTGTGATTGGTTGTTTTTGTGGGTTTTCTCACCTCCTAGTCTACTTGGATTGGTAAGTCTTCTGCTTGTCAGTGTGTCCGTTGATTGCCAATAATTCACATGAATACTACGCTTCCAAAAATTCTTTGGACTTCTTGGCCTTTCCTCTATCTAATATTTGAACATTGTCTAAATCGAATTGATGTCCATGGTGGCCTGTATGCAGTGATATGAGCGAGTGGATATGGTGTTTTTGACAGCCAGTTTATATTCAAGGATGCAAAGACAAAGAGGGCGTCCCCTTCGACCGATGTAATGTTTTCCGTACTCGTTGTAGTTTATCTTGTAGCTGATATTGATTTTATTGGTTTGTGCCAAAGACGTCAATTCCAAAAGATTTAAAGAGTCTTGCGGTGATTTTGATGAAGTTCCATGGATATTCCTTTTCTGGAAGACGTTTATAAGATGTATTTCTTCAATTTTCGTCAAATTAGGAGCGTTGCAATGACTCTTATAAAATCATGTTAGCATGCAAATCTTTTTGTATGTTATAGTGTATTGCTGTTGCCACTGGATATTCGATCTATACCTTTGAGCTTGTTCGCCTGACTAAGATGTGTTAAGATGGAATGAAGTGCTTTTGGATTTCTTTACTCTTGTGAATTTGACATCGTTGATGTTGTTTATTAACTTGTGAATTTTTTTAACACCTTTCTACTCACTACTTTAAATTTTGACGTATGCATTGAGGATGTATTGCCTACCTAAGTAAGGGAGCAAAGAAAGATTCACAACTTATACTGTCCAGCTCAGTAAAGCCATTACAAGAAGAGTGAATGTGACAACGTGTATTTGCAATACAGGATAAATGTAACTTACGTTATTGGATGAATAAAATCTAGGCCGACTGTTCAACACATATTCAGCTGACTTCCCGAGTGAATCATCTGAACTATTATACTGGACAATTCGAAATGCAGACTGTGGTACTTTATTTAAATTTGGTAATAACGTCTGTTAAAGAGCAAATAAAATACACATAGAAAGAAAAGCATACAAACTGAACAGAAACATATAAATATATAACGAAACAGTTAACAACATACCAAACTACTGTAAAAGTTAAAAAACAAACCATATGTGTATATCAAGAAATCCATCTGTCAGGGGTTTGTTTATAGGAACTTGATTTGCTTCAATTAAAGAACCATTTGAAAACCAACACTCGAGTACAGCTATTTCGTCAGCTTAGTAGCTTGGGATTCTCATCATTAGTATGCACCCAGCCCACTGGGGTTCGAACACACAAGACATTCCAGTTATAAGGAAAGTTCCTACACCAATATCAACGCTGACGATTACTCTTCCTTATACTCTCGACCGATAGCTGCTACCATATTGACGTGGTGGTCGGCTTGCACACCGCGATCACCCAACAAGCTACACTGGCTGGAACCAATGTTCCTGCAGGTCCTACTATGCCAGGAATTTTGTTAGGATAGCGATTAGACTAACAGCAGTTACCGACATAGTATAAGAATCTTTCTTACACTATGCTGGGGGTCTGAGGGCGCAGTCGTACTGTTGGGGAACAGGGGTGTAACAGCAGTAAGGTGTTTCCCTCAGATGACCAGCATATCAGCCAGCTATGCTGCCTCTCCACTCAGGAGAGATAGGTTTGGAAAAGGTCGATCCCAAAAAATGTATATCCCGAATACCTTACAGCGGTCCGTAACCGGCGGTAAGTTTACTAATACGGAACCAAACCAAGAAACCAGTTCATACAGGCAGTGTGTGTCTACCGGCTTCAAGCAGCTGTCTCCTGGGTTCTGCGGTCACACAACACTAACTCTTTTTGTTTCTTGTAACCGAAGAATCAATCAACTTTTACGGTGTGGGCAGCCGGAAAGTAACAACTACCCACACACTTCCAAAATCACACGAAGCCTTCCTGAGTATCATTCTCCTCATTCTTCCTTATTCCACAGAGACTGGACCCCACTGGTGACGACTTCTGACAAGATATCCAGGCTGACTGGCCTACAAGCTTGTGTTGTAACTGTAAGGCACTGAGTTCGAACCCATAGAATTACATCAAAAAGTGTTGAAACTCAAGTCATACTACCAACCAACAGGAAATTATCATCAAAGACCACAAGTTCACTCTACCATACACATAAATAGTATCCCGAAATAAAACCAAGAATACTGACATTGTTTGAAACAGACTTAGCACACAAGCCAACCAACACAATCACTTCAATCAGTATTGTGGAGACTAAAAGATCATTTAACAGCAAAAGAAGATACGATCAATACCATTTACAAAATAATCTCCATGTGACAAATACTACATTGGTCAAAGTAGGCGTCGACTTTGAATCAAAACCCAAAAACATGAATCGTCAGCCGTGAAAAACGTCATACATAATCATTCTCATGGACACACGTACATGATTGAGTGAATGCAGAAATTTTAAGCACGAGAGGAAAACACCAAAAATACTACCAGAGAATTTCTAGAAGCCTGTCTGGTACTCAAAAGAATCAGTGACTAACAAACACATCACTTAGTATAGATCAAATTTACCAACTAATAAAAAATAAATCACCACATGACAAGAAAGTTCAAATTCCAATTCAATAAAAATGATCAACAGAGACGTAAATTAACAAACAGCCAATCACACCACAACGGTCTTCGAGGGATACAATCATCATCAAATCATGGAAAATTCAAATAAGATCGGTTACAGGAATTCATCACGAGCTGACGTTGGTTAGAGAACCATTAGAAAACCTGGGAGTACTGGACAGGTTTTCCAATAGCGGTGTAACCTGTGTAAGCTCACGATGAAATCCCGTAACCAATCAACCAAATCCCTACAAACCAATACTTGAATATCAATGATACTCACTGGCGACTGGTCGTATTCAGGTAGGTAGTTACCTGGGGCTCCAGTGTCAAGTCTGACCAGTAGGGGGCAGCAGGATGGGTTTGAGGAAAAATACTCGCCGAAGACAGTGACTAGGGGTCGCGTCATATCGTGAATTGGCAGAAGTTGGAATTCTGGCCTTTGGATTGGATCCCAGTGGCTTAATTGTATACGAGCTCACCTTGTAACCAGAAGGTCCTGGGTTCGAACCCTGGTGGTGGGTGCGTACTGGTGATGAGTTCCAAACTGGGATGGAGGAAACAGCTATCCGGTACTCCCAGGTTTTCCAATGGTTCTCTAACCAATGTCAGCTTATGATGAAATCCTGTAACCAATCACCTAAATCCCAAAAAACCAATACTTGAATATCAAATAAGATAATTTCCCACTAGAACGTCTGCTGAAGATGTCGTCTAGACGGGCGAGGGACAACGAAACATTCGCATTTAAATCAAACAGCTCCTCAGAGAACACAACTAAATCGAAATCAGTAATTAACAAAGATGGAACATCATCTAAGTATCCATTAAAGCTAACAGATGAGTAATTAAGAATAAATATTGTTAAGCAATGAAGACTGTGACTGAAGTACCACTTACAATTCCAAGCAGTTGGCAATGGACTACACCGACTCTTGTGCGTGTATGGATAATGATACTAGCTGACTGCCTTAACGTTGGTGTTGTAAGTGGGGGTTTGAACCGACTGCTTTGTGGTCGAGCGTCTCGGCAGTGACCACAATGAGCCCCTAGATACCTCGACCAACTTGAAATACAAACTTTTTAATCAATGTTATAAACTACCTTTAATAATATCCTAGTGGATGTGAATTTTCATGTTCATATTACATACAACATAATTCAAACTTACTTGTCGGATAACGTTGGTTGCCTGTGACATTGATTGATCCTTATAGAGTGTCACATTTGCATGAATAGTATTCTGTGTAACTGGACATCGTGCATAAGCTTCAAACTACAAAAGGAAAAACAAAACGGAGAGAAATAATTCATCGATTAAGTCAGGGAGTAACTGAAAAAAACAACAAGGAGTATGTGTTAGAAGACAATTCTACCTTAGAGTAATATACTGTGAGGTAAATTAGCTCCACAGACGACAAAACCTGCATAATAATAACTGGAAACTTTAACTGAAACAACTGAAATCTGTGAGGTAGGAGAAATTGACATGTCACTTCAAGGTTACATAAAGGTGTTAAGTGAGTGTCTAGTACAAAGTGGTATGTATCAAAGATGAGAGAATAAGACTACAATGAGAAGAGTTCATCATGAAATAACAACTAATATGCGAAGTGAAACAGTTGGAGGCATGTATTGAGAAAAGAGATAACATCACTCGCTCATAATAAATCAAAATAGTATAAATGTAAAATTCGTTAGTATTGAAAGAATACTTGAATGAAAGGTATACACACACATTATGACGAATAATAATGACACTTGTATAATAAGCGAAGCAAAAATGCTCAATCAGAGGGGTCCATCTCACCTACGAACGAGAATAACATGACTCTATGCACTATCTCAACGTCTTCCTAACGAGAAGAGAGGATAGTTCCATCAAAAGAATCATATTTAGAAAGACAGAGGTCAAAGCTCAATATACACACTTCCTTAGCGTTGTACATATGAAATACAAAACATAATCCGATCAGCTGTTTAACATTAACAGCAACGTGGAAGATTGTGTACAGAAAGAACTCCAGATCATTCCGGATATTCTAAGCAGGGATGGATATCCAGAGAAGTTGATTAAAGCCAAAATAAGTTACAATAGTCGTAAACAAGAACTGACAATCGTGGAGAAAAAGTCTTTATTTTTACGTCTATAATTCAGGGGACATACTCCTACAGGGATTCTGTCACCACGTTTAACCAGGGACATGAAGAAAACTTTCTACTCTGCACATCTGTTCCTATTCTTCAATAGCCATCCATTATTCACCAAAAAGCTGAAAGAGGTTTCACCTAAACGTAGCTCTTTCTCATGAATATAGCGCTTGAACTGTTCCTGTGATTCAAGTTGTGTAGGGTCTACGATTACGCAGGTTCGTCTACGGGTTGGAGAACATTTACTAGCCTACTTCAGAAAGGAGGAAATCAAATGAATAAAAGGTTCGATTTCACCACACTTGGTCGATACCGGATATCACACTGACGTAACATCCCGAAGTCGTTATCATCTACAGTTCGCCTACGTCTTCTACATATATAGCTGAAGCTGTTCCAATAAGATAGACTAAAACGGAACCTTATCTTCAAAAAGAACACATTCAGACGCTGATCCCATCATGGCCGAATTTGGATTCAATTTTCTTCCTCTCTTCAAGAGTGCCTCTTCTCTTTGTCCATTTAATTTGCTTCATTCAAGCAATATATGCAGCATTTGCGAAAGTCTTTTGGTTTATGGTCATTCTGCAAAACATGATTTTATTGGACCTTGGGAAACACATACCCCCAAAAAAATGAAAAACCTAGTCGTATGCAGCTTGACTGATTGTGTTCAACTGACTACACATACAAAATACCTTCGCGTCACAGACTGATGTCACAACAAACATATAAAAAAAACAATTAATATGGGACAGCTGTTGACCCTTTACCCAGTAGACCTCAGATTACACAATGCCATTTAAAATTTAACCATTCCTGGATTTCGCGGATGACTTATGTTTGATGTCACACAAAATGGAAGACTTACAAGCGAAATCCGACAAACTGGTCGAAGAAACAGCAAAAACAGGACTCCATAGACGGAGGTAAAGAAGATAACCAACCAATCAACCAACAACAGCAGCAACATCCACTGTCAATCACTAACAACGGGAGGGATTTGAAAGAGGTAACCTCATTCATTCACTTATCTAGGGGGCATCGTCTCAACTACAGGCAGTCGGAACGGACGAGGATGTCAAATCGACCGAGAATCGGGAAGGCGAGAAACACATTCATCAACCCGAAACCAATCTGGAAAACCAACCTTCGTCACTCAGAATCAACAACAAAATTTCGTCAGATTTTCAATAAAGACGTCAAGTCAGTTCTTCTATACGGATCCGAAACTTGGCGGGTCACAAACAATATTTCCAACAGCCTGTTGCAGACCTTTATCAACCAACAACTGTCTCCGCTGGATCTATACTGAAGATCAGATAGCCGGGCCGGAAAGTATCACCAACAACTAACCAAACTATGGGAACAAACAAAACAAGAAGCAATCGCCCAACAACAGCGAATATGCAGGAGAAAATGGAGATGGATTGGACACTCGCTGAGGAGGCCACCACTGGGTGACATCGTGCGCACGTCAGGCCATGGCTCGAGTGGAACCAGGCCGAAAGGGAAGCGGTGAGTGGGACGTCGGTGCAAGGGTGACATGGAGGAGATCGTGTGAAGAGGAGTTGAAACAGTATGGACTAGCATGGATGCAGGTAAAAAGTACAGCAGAAGGAAGACAGAAGCAAGTGGAGACGTGCATTTGAAGCCCTGTGTTCCACTAGGAACCCAAGGGAACAATAATGATAATATATATGATACTTAAGGAAGACGATTTTAAGCAATCAAATACGTATTTTAGGTAAACTCTCATCAGGATTTACTCTTTCCATAATGAAATATTAGTCATAGGCAATTGAATTAATTTGGTTGATAAGATATGTAGGATTAGAGTTCAAGGATGCCAATTAATGGATAACAATCGAAGTGCTAATAATAGTTATAATAATAACACGAATAAATTCTCATTCAAGTGTTTATATTAATTTAATCTAGACAACGTTGATTGCATCGGTAGAATGTGTATACTAACTAGTAGGGGTAGACGGGTAGATAACTATTGTCACACATAGGGATTAGATAATATAATAATAATAATAATAGCGATAAATTGTGGAATCCAGATTAAACTGTACAACTACAGCACAGCATGATATCGATAATACATTTAGTATTACAAATAAAATATAAAATAAAAATATAATAAGATAACATGCACAGTTATCTGGGTATCACCAGGAGTGATAACTATTTTAGGTTGGGGATGAAGGCGAAGAAGAGAAATTGAACAAAATCTGTTTCTGAACACAGAGATTGGGTTGAAAAATCATTATGGCAACTGCCTCAGCTAAGCTTAGCAACGGAAGACGTACGAATCTAGAGAGTTGAGGTGTGGTAGCTTGTGTAGAATTGTAAAAGCTGGATTTTTCTCAATCTCGTGCTCCATATCTACTAGGTGTGCCCAGTATGGAACAACTTCTGACTGACTTTACAACTTTACCTAACCACGTTGGGCAATACTCCAGATGGCGACGGTGGGCTTTCTGAGTCATTCTACCTAAGTAACTGTCTCTAGATGAACAGTTAAATTTATAAATGTGCATTAAATTGGCCAGACTCGGGTTGGAATTATACAAAGAGTGGAGAATTTTAAACATAGTAATGAGGCAAAGAATGTTTTAGTTATTATTTTTCGAAGTTTCGATGCCAGTCAGTAATTCAGTTGCTGCATCTCCATGAAAAACGGTAAAGTCATGTACATACGTTTCTTCTGCACAGTTTACAAGCACTTCTCTCTATCTACTCACCTCATGGATACTTTGATAAACTTTTCTGATGAGTATACATTCTTGTATAAGTTTCCCTATTTCACTTATTTCATCGTCCAAAGTGTCGGTTGCCCGGATACTTCCAGCACGAAACATCAAGGTACTGGTGAAATTTCGTTTGTATGCAACAGGAATAAACAATCTGAAATGGGTGTGTATTGACCGACCTACGACTGCTTCCGGAAAATAACGCACCTTATACTCCCTTCTTGTGAGGAGGATATCAAGTAAAGATAATAAGGTGTCATCTTTCTCTGTTTTATATGTGAATTCAGTTTTGTGGATGAGTCATATCGAATGTTTTGAGAATCGACCTCGGTATCGATCTTTATTATTATGCAGGATAAAAGTATCGTCTAGATATCTACAGGAGAATGACAGTCCAGGGATTACATCGTTATCCACTAATTGACATCCCTGAACTCTAATCCTACATATTTTATTAACTACATTACTTAAAATGCCTGTGATTAATATTTCACTATATAAATGTTAGGCCTGATGAGAATTTACGGCAAATGCGTATTTGCTTGCTTAAATCGTCTGTTCTATAAATATCACACTAGGTCAAACACAAGACTTTGTTGTTGTTATATCTGAATTATCCGGAATAGGCCTGTCATTCATCAGAGCTCTTAGCCATAATTATATCCAGAATGACACAGGTTGAACACGATTTTAACTCAGGAATAAGGGGACTATCTGAGAAAAAGGAAACTGTCCACTGACGAAAATCCAAGTCATTCACTCTACTCACAATGACGACTACCCCCAGCAAACTGACAATCGGTTAACAATGACAAATAGGAAATGACCGAAAAAAAATAAAGCAAAAGATATGGAACATGAGCCACGTACCTTGCACACCATCAATTCTCTTTCCTTCTTTTCAGCAACGCCTCTTTCCTCATCACGAATTTCTTGCATCTGCAATATAAAAAGAAGTGATAATAGTATTCTAACAACAAATACTAGTAATAAACGTATGCCCTGGCTAAGCGGACTAATCAGAGACAAAAAGCCAACAGATAGGTATAATAAGGATAATTTTCTCAATGTATTTATTATTGATTTATTTAAACGCAGAAAAAACTTGGTACAATATGGCACCAAGAAAGATGCACCACACAATAATAATAATAAAAGAACATAGATCAAAAGTAAAAATATGAGTAGAGAACGGATAAAGAACTTCATCTGGAAAGAAAACAGTCATGCTTAACAAGTTCACACAGTATTCGTTAACTATCATCAGGAAGGGAAGAAAGAAGGAAATTGCAATACGTTCACCACTGATTACGATTCTTGGCCATATCCGATAACCTTTAGAGCCATCGCTTCATGCTATCTCGCGGACCCCAACCAGGGAGTCTTGACTCACCAACCGATACTAATCTAGCACAAAAATCCTTCATCCCATGACACCACGTCATGGACTGACCACCTCTCCGCCTTTTCCATCCCGTCCCAAGGCTAGCGAACAGAGACCTGTACGGAAGCCTCTGGGATGACATTCTCAGCACATGTCCAAGCCACCGGAGCCGGTGTTTCCAGATGACGACAATCAATGAATGGTGATCTCCACTGTGTTCAAACACACGCCGCCGAACCTCAGAATTACTCACGCGATGATGCCATCGAACGCAAGCAATCCTGCGGAGACAGCGATGATCGAACACGCAGAGTCGCCGCACATCCTCAGCTCGGAGAGGCCAGGTTTCACAGGCGTAGAGCAAGACAGCCCGCACCGAAGCATTGAATACCGGACCTTTGACAGCCAGGCTAACGTCGCGACGGCACCAGAGGTGGCTCAAGTTGATGTATGCCACCCTAGCCTTCATTATACGGTTGGAAATCTCATCCGTCACCCCTCCACCAGCACTCACACAACTACCCAGGTACACAAACTTATCAACAACTTCACCCGCAAGAGTGAGTGCAGGTACAGTCTCCTGCCAATCTTGTAACAGTACTTTGCACTTAGACGGCGCAAAGCACATACCATACTTACAGACACTGATCGCCAACTGATTAAGTGCGATTTGGGCAGCCTGCATGCTATCGCACAGTAAGACGATATCGTCTGCATACTCGAGGTCGAAAAGTCTATCTCCAGGTAGCAGATCTACACCACCTTCACGCACATCCTTCAGAGCTGACTCCAGAATGTCATCGATGGCAAAGTTAAAGAGATATGGAGAGATTGGGCAACCCTGTCTAACCCCACTGTTGGTTGGGAACAGTGATGATAGTTGATTGTATGCCCTCACTTTACCCGAGGTGTTTCTGTATAGGGCTTTCAAGATGTTAACAAATTTCTCAGGTAAACCTCTCTCTAACAGACAGTTCCAGAGCACAGTTCTGTCCAACGAATCGAAGGCAGCCCTAATATCAAGAAACACAAAGATCGTCGGCCTGCAATACGTGTGGCGGTGTTCCAAGAACTCACGAAGGGTGAACACATGATCAATGCATCCACGACCTGAACGTAACCCAGCCTGCTCTTCGCGAATCAATCCCACACGTATTTTGCACAGCCAATATTTTAGACGCAACTGGTAGCAGACTGATACCCCTATGGTTGTCACACGAATTACGTCGACCCTTTTTAAAGATGGGGAAGATAATAGCTTTGTTCCACATTGATGGTACACTCTCAGTCTCCCATACCCTCCTGAACAACCCAGTTAGAGCCATTGTGAGAGTCCCACCACCATCTTTGAAAAAAGCCGGGGGTAGATTGTCTGGGCCGGGCGCCTTATGGCGTTTTAACACTTGGAGTTCCTTACGGACCTCCGCTTCGGTGGGTGGGTCGGTATTAAAATAAACTTATATAATATGGAATGACATTCCAGCACACCGCAGTACCCAAATTCTACGCTGACATTATTGGGAGTGGGTTAACTTGAACTCATAGAAGTGTATGCGTTAAGTCTTGTGTTTATTAATCAACTAGTCAGTTATTTATTCATTTCCCGTATGAAGTATCCGTCCACCGGGTCACTAGTTTAAACAAACAGTGATTAAGTTTATTATTGAAAACAAGAAAATTAAGAATGCATATAAAACTCAACACATCCTATAAATTTAATATGAATGTCTATGCATCATAATAAAGGGGGAAAAACTAACCATTTTATGAATATGCTCTGGAAACTCTTCCACCTTCATAAAAGTTTCATTCAACTCAGGATTGACAAGTCGATACATCAAGAAATAGGCATTTGAATGACTAAAATAACTTGACTGATTAGTACCAAAAGTTGATTCCAATGCCTCCAGAGAAGTAGGTGTAACATACTGGTCATTGAATTTATACCATAGACCGTCATTGAATGACCTGGGTAAAATTTAATCAAAATAAAAATAATCAATAACAGAACATACCTATGAGAGTTTCAGCAATGCAGAATACAAAACGATTTAAAAACAGCTCATATTACAAGAGTTCAACATGATGGAAGATAACGCGATTAAGTTGTCGCGTCGGCAGAAAGAAGCATAAGCAAAACCACATCATTGCGACCTGTATTAACTCGTCTGATTCACCAGACATAACTAAGGCATCCCGGAAACCCAATCAACGCACTACAGAAACCACCATGACCATAGAAAACAAGCTTACTCTTCGCTGGAATCGGAAAAATGAAATGAAACAGGTTGATGAAAGCCTTCGGGTACCCAGTCAGTTGATGTCTTTCGATAAATGCAGTAAAATAAACATTGGGACTTGGAATGCCAGCACGATGTTCGATCGAAGCTACGAAGACTGTTCACAGATTGAGAAAATATATTGTAGGATGGCTACGAACCTGTGAGAGCAGATGGAATGGATACGGCCTCTTAAAATTGTTAACTGAACAGTCAATAGTTTACTCCAGTCATTCAAACAACCATAAACGTCTCAAGATTTAGGTTCTAAATTTCACAGTTACTGACTTTGAAAACGTTTAGGTGCTAATTTCAGATTGTCATATAGTCAAAACGTTTTCACCACTATGTACAAATATTCCTGGATTGGGTTATGAGGTACATCGATATTTACAACAATACACTGTTTTACCCCGACCCAGTTCACTGGCTGGTGGTCCCTAAGCCCTGGAAAACAGGGAAGCTTGAGAGTAGCAAGGGTACAGACCCTACTTCGTTAAAGACGATACCATCCCTAGTGAGGCTTCAAAACGACTAACGTTCAACATAACGAATGCCTAAAATTAATTTCAACAAACCAACCAAGCATGGTTTTATAAAATGATCACTATTTGACGAAAAACCCAATACAAACATTAGATAAAAAAAATCAAAATAACATTCAATAAACTAACGAAATCAGGACAAATTACAAAGCAAGATCAATGGCGAATGAAATCTAACGGACCTGCTTTGCCTCAATTTCACCGTAGATCGGAAACTACACAAACCAGACACCTCCATACGACTACTTATTCCCGCTACCAGGAACACCAGGATATAATCTACTTAACGAACTTTTCAGAAAACTAAAATGTCTAATAGACCGTCACCACCAGGAACACCAATGGGATCTCCAATACCAGGATTAATACTTGAAGCCGTGTTATGCAAAGATAATTAATAGTCCTGTCCCTACCCACAATTAATATACAAAGCTGGATAGGTACGTTAAATGCTGATGGTTGATAATTGATTCGTAATAATTAAGACAAATGTGATTTGCAACACACCCACAAATTAATCACAACAACATATTTGAAGACATTAAATTCACCACGGGAAATAAAAGAAGAATTAAACAACAAAATTCCATTCTCACATGTCTTAATGAAGAGAAATAACACAGGAAATTTAGAAACACCACAAGTGTACAGAAATTCAGCGCACACACACACACTCACGCATATATCAAATACTCAACTATGACAGTAATAACACAGTGACCCATGTAAAAGAAACTATATGCAGACATTGTTTAAAAAAGAGGTCCAACCATATTGTAGCACTCCAGTGTTGAAGAGAATGGAAGATATATATATACATATATCAGAACCTACTAACCATCTTCAAAAAGAATAAATACCTACACAATTTATAATATATGTGTAAAACTTGGGCACTGTTGTAATAAGTAATTCCATATTAGTTTTGTGTATTGTATTACACAGTGCAACAGTATTATTTACTGGATGACAAGGTTTCGAACAAAATTTCAGTATTTCATCATGAGCTGACATTGGTTAGAGAACCATTGGAAAACCTGGGAGTACTGGACAGCTGTTTCCTCCGTCCTAATTTGGGACTCTTCACAGTATACACCCACCGGTGCTCGAACCCAGGAGCTTCTGCTTACAAGTCGGGCTCGTAGACCATTAAGCCATTCACTGGGACCCGATCCAGTGGTCAGCCCATGAATTCTAACTTCTGCCAATTCACGATATAGCGTAACCGCTAGCCAATGTCTTTGGCGGGTGTTTGTCGTCACACCCGACCTGCTGCACCCTACTAGTCACTTCCCGCTAAAACCCCAGGTAACTACCTACCTGAATAGGCACAGTCGTCATTGGATCAGGTCCCAGTAGCTCAATGGTCTACGAGCTCACTCTGTAACCGGAGGGTCCTAGGTTCGAGCCCCGGTGGGTGCGTAATGAGGAAGAGTCCCAAACTAGGACGGAGGAAACAGGTTTTCTAATGGTTTTCTAACTGATGTCAGCTCATGATGAAATCCTGAAACCAATCAATCAAATCCTTACAAACCAATACTTAAATATCGAACAAAATGTATTCTTCACCATCACATCAATTGTCTGTCTGTCTGGATTCAACATAGAACTTGGCACCGAAGTGCAGCAGTTCGAGTTGCCACGTTCCAAATAGCACACAAGGTAGACAAGAAGATGAGTGAAGAGAATCAATAGAGTTTGACAAATATAAGAGTGAAACAGAATGGGTAATGGTAGAAAGGAATATGAAAGATTACAGAGACTGAATACATCTGCGCCATTGACAACGATTTTGAGCCATGTCACCTATTGTCTCCAGCCATTGATTCCTAGAGTCCCGAGGGCCCCAACCCGGGAGTCTGCATCTCCCTACCTGACTCAGTTTAACTGTCAAGGATTTCATGGATTGATGCCATGTTTTTGTTTGGCCACCACTGGCTCTTTTCCAACCTGAACCTATATCAGCTAGCAATGCCCGTCGGGGGAGGCGGTGGTTAGGCATGCGCAGCACGTGACCTAGCCATCTTAGTCTATGTAACTTTATAGCCTCGTCGATTGATTTTCCCTCTTTGCCCAACACTCTACGCCTAACGTCAACATTACTTATCTTGTGAAACCACCTAACGTGAGACAGAGATCGCAGACATCTATGATCGAAAGCAGTCAACCTTTTCATGTCTTCAACGCGTATTGGCCATGTTTCAGAGCCATAGAGAAGGACGGAGCGAACTGATGAGCAGTACACACGTCCCTTGGTTGATAACCGGATGTCACGCCTACGCCAGAGATGGTGTAAGTCAGCGAAAGCAGCTCGAGCTTTTCGGATCCGTGCTGAGATTTCATCGCCAATCAGTCCGTTGGTGCTAATACAACTTCCCAAGTAGGTGAAGTGGTCAACATGTTCTATCACTTCACTCCCTATCACTAAGTTAGGGTTGACGTGTCCAGTCCTGTAGCAGCATCTTACATTTTGCAGGGGCGAATCGCATGCCAAACATACGAAGATTGCTGCTCAAGGTGTTCAGAAGACTCTGCATTTTGTCAGCATCCTCCCCTAACAGGACTATGTCATCTGCATATTCTAAGTCCATTAGATTATTCCCTGGTAACAAGTCGATTCCTAAGTCACTACGTTCAGTTAAGGATACTTCCATTAGCATATCTATGATGAAGTTAAACAGAAATGGGGAAAGTGGACATCCCTGTCGGACACCACTGGTTGTTACCAATTCAGATGACAATTCCCCATAAGCCCTTACACGACTACGTGAGTTTGAATAGAGTGCCTTGATTAGTGCAATGTACTTTCTTGGCACTCCCTTCACAGTCAGACATTGCCATAGTACCTTTCGATCCACGGAGTCGAAGGCCGCCTTCAAGTCAAGAAATATGACAATTGTTGGACGCCGAAAAGTGTGTCTATGTTCTAGAATCTGTCGAAGAGTGAAGATATGATCTATGCACCCTCTACCTGGTCTAAAGCCTGCTTGATTTTCCCTTGTCTGTTCCTCCCGAGTTCTGCTTAGTCTATGCATGATTACTGAGCCTAGGATTTTAGAGACTATGTTCGTTAGGCTGATCCCCCTATGATTATCACACGAGGACTTGTTTCCCTTCTTGAATATCGGTATAATAAGTGACTTACCCCAGTCTGATGGTACTGTCTCTGATTCCCAGACTTTGCCTAGTACCTCAGTTAATCTACAAACTAGTATGTCACCCCCATATTTAAACACCTCCGGAATAATTCCGTCGGGTCCTGCCGCTTTGCCTCGTTTCAAATTACTGATAGCTTTTGTAACCTCACCTACAGACGGCGGACCAGTGTCTATATCCCATTCGGGTACGTGGTGGATGGCGGGGAGGTTCAGTGTGGCTGTAGGCAAGTTAAATTGTTCCTCAAAGTGTTCTTTCCAGCGTTCAAGGCGTCTATCCTGAGAGCTAATTAAGGAGCCATTTTTCTCAGAAATAGTCTCACTTATGAATTGCCTTCTCCCGCCCGATTCTGTGATGAGTCTAAAGAGTTGCCTAGTGTTGCCTATCGCCGATGCTTTTTCCATCTCTTTCGCCTTTGTCACCCACCACTGTTCACGGTCCTTGCGGAGACTTTTAGTAAGTTTCCTTTTGTGCAGCTTTCGCTCCTCATTGAATTCGGAGCTCGCCGGAATAAGTCTTCTAGCATCTATCAGTTCGGATGAGGCAGTCGAAATCCAGTGGTTTTTACTCACCTTTGGATTTGCCTTATTCACAGCTTTTACAGCTGTATCTATAGCTGACTGAATATTCTTCCAGGCTTCTCCAGGGTGAGCACAGCTGTCGAATTCAGATATGCGTTTAGCTAGTTCTTCCTCAAATAGGGATTTAGTTTCCTGATCGAGCTGGGGACGTGATGGTTTTACCGCCAGCTGTTTCCTACGTCCGTTCAGTCGTAAGCACACACGAGCCCGGACCAGTGCGTGATCGGTATCTACACACGTGTTCCAGAAGGAGCGACAATCTCCTACCGACCCACGCCAACGATAGCTTATTGCTATGTGGTCTATTTGTGTCCAGCGTTGGTTTGATGATGGGGGTCGCCAGGTTAAACAGTGTCTCTCCTTGTGTTTAAAGTTAGTGCTTACAAGAAACAAATGATTATCTGAACAGAACTGTAGGAGACGGTCACCGTTGTCGGTTCGCTGGCACGGAACTCCATAGGTGCCACCGACATCCTTCTCAGATTGACACATCAATTATAATCACGCGACTTCGAAACTTGAGTTTTATAGCCTTCTTTGTCCCCTCCCATTTGATTGATATCGAATCAACTGCAAATACGTGCAATAGGAATGATTCAACACCTGTCCACCCAGTTATCTGGAAAATTCTACTATTCATACCACAACGAACAGGAAAGAAAGAAAACCATAAAACTAAAGTTTCAAAGTCGTGTGTTTATAATTGATGAAATGATTATGAACAGTAATAAATTTTGTTCGAAACCTTGTTATCCATTAAGTAATACTGTCCCACTGTGAGAAACATCTAATAAACAAACTAATATGGAATTACCCACAGAATTACATCAAAAAAGTGCTGAAACTTAAATCTTAATACCGACAATGTTATGATGCTAGATCTTTTCTCAAGAGGTAACTGCTTAACTACTGACCAGTGCCCACTTAACTGGTAAAGCAGAACACGCGATAATCAGCGGTAAAACCAGAATCATTTATTTATGACAAAAGTGACTGTATTTATACAAAAATAAGGTAGACTGGAAATCAACCAATCCGATTGAGAGTTGGGATGGTGCAAGCGTCCAATCAGAAAGCAGGACAATTGCATGTCAACGACATGATAATAACTTGATAATTGCATGTGTTTTGCCTCTTCCTAACAGACAAAACACCATCATCAAAGACCAAAAGAAAGTTCACTCTACTATACACATAAAGAATATTTCCGAAATAACGACTAGAATACTTAGACCATTTGATGAAAGAAGCGTAGCACAAATAGCAACAAAATCAATTCATTCAATATTGTGAAGACGAAAACATCCAACATTATTTATAAAATAAATTCAATGAACTGGTCAAAGTGTGCGTCCCCTTCGAATCACAATCCAAGAACATACATCATCAACTGTGAAGAACGGGATATGTATTCATCATTCACATCGATACACTTAGAAAATTAATGACATCAATTTGATGATTGGGAGAATACAGAAATTTCAAACAGGAAGGGAAACACTAAAAATACTACTAGGGAATTTCTAGAAGCCTGTCTGGTACTCAAATAAATCAGCGATTAACAAACATATTATTCCCTAGTATAGATCAAATTAACCAACCAATAAAAATTAAACCACCACATGACAAGAAAGTTCAAATTCCAAATATTATCAACACAGACGTAAATTAACAAACAACCAATCATCACGACAATGGTTATCACAAATATAAATATCACATTTATGCAGAATTCGAATAATTTTATTTCATACTAAAACTTGCACTGAACCTGTTGTCTAGAAAGGTGACAACAACAACAACAACAGGCTTCGCAGTTAAATCGACCAGCTCAAATGACACAATTATTCATTCATCGATTAATTTAAATGCGAACATTGGTGCATCATATTTTTTTCCTTCACGTTCCTAAGTGGAACATAGGGCTTCAAGCTAGAGGCTTGAAGTTTCTGTAGCAGTAGTGTTTATTTTACAGGATGGAGTTGCTAGCCTCATGCCCAAACTTTCCTCTTTACCAGCATTATTTCTGGCTTAGCGAGGTAAACGAGTGCGTCGGCATCATATATGCATCACAAATAAATCATGCAAGATGGAGAGGTAACTTAAGAATTACAGTATGAACAAATAGACAACCATATAAGGTGGACTGATATGAACAAAGAATTAGTGTCACAAGGCATATGTGGTGTTAACAAACTAACTAACAATCAGATCGAGAAACCGGATTCGATCGCACAAAAACTACTGTCTACAGAGTTTTCTGAACACGTACGCCTTCCCTGAACCTCGAAATTTCTTTCACCTGGTGATGCAACACTGATAAAATGAAGGAAAAACTTTAGTTAGTACTTTTATATCGAAAGGGAATGTAGCATAAAACCAAATCCCAACGATATGAAACGCCAGCGTCGTTGCTGCCGTCAGTCAAACCACTTTTCCTCGGTGACCCGACGATTAATATACCGTTATCAAGTCAAACATGACGCTAATTGATGATGACGATGTTCGGTTTTCACAATACTTGATTATATAAAGTATTACACACTACCATGGAAGAAGTACCCAAAACATACATGAATAATTCCTCACAACAGTGTTCCTAATTGTCCCATTTCAAGCGTAATAGCAAAAGTATCATGTTGGTGTCCACTGGTGCGCACGGGTGAACCATACATAGCAAGAAAAAAAGAACAACCTTATGAGAAAATATTTCATGAAATAAATATTTTTATTGAACGCATAAAAGTGGCTTAAACTTTCTAAATGCCAGCTAGGGTTTCCCATAAACTTCAAGATAAGCCCTCCCCAAAACACGTTTTATAGATAGGTTTAAAAGATGTGTTAACGTCAATTTTATGTCCTGTCTCTATAATACGTTACGCAATAGAGTAGCCTATTTTATTTATTTATTTATTTGAACGCAGAAAAACTTGGCACAATATGGCCCCAAGAAGATACGCCACACTTGTGTGAGGGCTGAGATACTACGCGGGCGTCCAAACCGAAGCAGGTGGTTTTCTTAAGGGACTACCCGCCGCGAACCTTTGACTTGGAGTCTAATCCCCAAGGCAGCAGAGCAACGTCAGGAGCTGTATCGCCATGGTTGCCGGTGACCAATATGGGTTCGTGAGCCATTTGATCCGATTAGATTCTGTACACCCCGTGGTAACTGCTTTCAGTCTAACCGCTATCCAAACAACCTTCCTGACATGGTAGCACCTGCAATCAGTTTAGCTTGTTGAGTCACTGCGGTACTCAAGTCAGACCACCACGACAAGGTAGCAGTTTTTGGCCAGAAGAGAGAAGCTAGGTCTTCTGTTCTCACCATTAATGGGTTCTAAAGATTCCATTTGTTTATGGAGCCATTTAGGTATATGTTCTGAGGCCAACCCTTACTTGCAGAGATCATCCATAAGTCCTCCCCATGTGTATGTGTGTCCACACGTTAACAAAAAAATTCGTCATCACACTAAACATTCCTTGGTAAACATTGTTATGTAAGTGAGAGGCGAAGACGTGAAGATATCAGCACAAAAGAAACTCACTTAATAAATGCATAGTAATGTCCACCGTTAATTGAACCTGAATGCACCATAATTGAAAATAATTCATAGACTAGAGATGAATCAGATGTATTGGATTGAACATCATAATTCGATTCAGATGTCCCAGGATTATCATCATTGCTAGTAGTCGTACTAGTTGTAGTAGTAGTAGTAGCAGTTTCATGAGAAGTAGTAGTATTATCATTCACAGATCTAGATGTTTTAAACTTCTGTGGTGAACGATTCTGAGGACTATGACTTCGATGACGACGTTGCTTCTTCTTTCTGTTATGACATTCATTGGTTAATCTCTTTTGATGAACAGTAGTTGTGGAACATGAACATGAAGGACATGTACATTCAGAAGCGATACCATCGTCTAATTCATTAGAGGATGAATAGATTCTATGGTTATATGAATCATTATTTATATGATTATGATTATTATTGTTCTTATTATGATTACGTTCGGTTATATCATTCATATTTTGTTGTACAGTTAGCACAGCTTTCATTAGAACAGAATTATTGGTTACTGTATGCGTTGCATCTCCTCCAAAATCTGATAAATCATCCATTTCTTCCTCAACATTTGGTGAACCAACTGTAGGACTACCCGAAGATACACCATCGAATGGACTGTAAATAATATAATTAGAAAATTTAATATAAACATTTTGAAATTAAAAGAATTGTGTACCAACTATTGAGTAAGTATTATACCACTTTAATACGCTGGATAAATTAAATGACTGCTTCACAAGCATACAACTTAGCACAGGCTGCTATATGCATTTGCGCCATTGAAAATGTTTTTAGGCCGATAGTCTTTAGCTAGCCAGTCGTCGGTTCTCGGCATCCCTAGAACTTCAAATTCTCAAGCTACCTATTACAACACATCACCTCGTTACGTAGCTAGCTCGCAAACCAACTACCAAACACTCCACTGACTGACAACACCAGGTTTTGCTTTGATCAACCTTAATTCTTTTCTAACTTTATGTTATGTCAGCTAACAACGGTCGATGAGGAAGGCGATGACTCAGTATACGAAACACGTGTCGCTGTAGCTATTTCAATAGATAAACCTTCACTTGTTGACTTGCCCTCCTTACCTAAACACTACGCCTAACCTCACCACATTATACAACTTAACACGGGAGATAAGACGTAGACCCTTACGATTGAAGACAGCTAACCTCTTTAGGTGTTCCGCTTAGAATGACCATGAGTCATAGTCACCGAAAACTTCCAAACATGGGTCGAGTGACAAAAAGCACCAACAACTATATTATTACTCCCATGGGTTCCGACTAGAGAGTAGAACTTCAACAACATATCTCTATTTTGTTTTGTCGTCTGGTCCCACGATTGTCCCTAAGCTTTCTTTTCCTCCCGACATGATCTTCATGTCAGCCTTGGACCCACGCCCAACTTGTCCTTTCTCATTCTACTTCCACTCGAGTGATGACCCGATGGGCCATAGTTCCTTGTTAACAGTCCTTTCAGGCTGGACATCTGACCTTCACTATGAAGTCAGAGAAGGAAGGAAGCTGTTGATAAAAGTCTGTAGCCGGTTAGAAGGGTTTTTGCGACGCGACGCGCCAAGTCTCTCAACCATACACAGAAGCACAGACTAACTTGACACTGGTGTTGAAAATCCAAATTTTGTTCCTTATGCTGACTGAGTGCAGATTTCCAAGCTGATTTCAGATTGACGAAGTTCTGTCTGTGTTGACTTTCCCATCCTGACTAACTGCCTGACTGACGGGTTTTGACATTCTCATCCATGCTGTCCCCAACTTGTAGTAGTTGGAAGGATGTTGACTAGCCAGATAATAGAAGGATCTGACCTCTTTTAAATTTCTCACGTTGATAGTAATTGGTGGTTGCTGGTAAAATCGTAGCAAACTGGTGTTAAGTAATATCTCCCAGGGGTAAAAATATTTCACCTAACAAATATGCGGAAGAAAATGGATTGAATGGACACACACGCCACTGAGGAGACGACCGTCGAATGAGATCGCGAACCAGACCATCATCACTTGAATGGAATCCGAATGGGGAATGACGAGTTGCGGGGTCAGGAGCCCGAGGGTGACATGGAGGTCGTGCGAGAAGATGAGAGACTATGGACAATGGCGTGGGGCCAGGTGTGAAGGGGTCACAGGGAATAGGGCGAACTGGAGACGTGCTGTCGGAGCCTTGTGTTCGACTCAGAACCCATGGGAACAATACTACTATTAACAATAATATGATCATACAATAAGTGTGTGACACACATAGGTTTCGGTTAACAGAGAATGCAAAAAGCAGAATAGTTAAGCTCCACTTTGTTAAAAGCCATGGTTATAGAGATTATTGGTATGTCTAAGCTATGAGCTTTTTTTCTGGAAACGCACAAATGATAAATCAAATGCAGAAACCCCTGGCTCCAAACCGGTTAGCATAGTAGACATCAATAGCAACTAGAAAATAAGAACGGGAAACTGGTGAAATGTCTGAAGTCCTCTTCGGTCATTGGTAGACTTCATAGACGATTAATATCTCCTGTCTCAGTAAACTCGAAGATTTCTAAACGAAAATCAACAAGTTCGCAAAAAAGGGAAGCGAAGACAGAAGTTTAGGTTGATATCTGTCTGTTTTCGACATAGAACTTTGCACAAATGGGCGGAAGTTCAAGTCGCCACACTCCGTGTAGCACGCGAAGCAAGAGAAGAAAGTACAAGAAAAGCATAATAGAAACAGTGAGCAGAGGTGTGAGACAAAGGAGTAATAAAGAAAAACAAAACAGTTTCATTGGAAATCATAAGTCACAGGGAGTGGATGCATCTGCGCCACTGAGAACGGTTTTGAGCCATGTCACCAATTGTTTCCAACCATAGATTTTTACCGTCCCGAGGACCCCAGCCTGGAAGTCTACACCTTTCTACGTGGCTTAGACCAACTGTTGTGGATTTCATTGACTGATGCCAAGTTTTTGTTTGACCGCCGCTAGCTTTTTTCCAGCCTGACCCTATATCCGCTAACATTGCTCGTCGAGGGAGGCGATGGCTTGGCATACGTAACACATGTCCTAACCATCTCAGTCTTTGTAGCTTCACGACTTCGTCGATTGATTTCCCCTGTTTACCTAGAACTCTGCGCCTAACCTCCATGTTGCTCACCTTATTATGCCACTTTACACGGGAAATAGAGCGCAGGCACCTGTGATCAAACACAGCTAGTCTTTTCATGTCTTCCACTCTCAGTGGCCAGGTCTCACAATCATAAAGGAGGACGGAGAGGACTGATGAGCAGTACACCCGCCCTTTGGTCGATAGTCGAACATCTCGTCTACGCCAGAGACGGCGTAAACTAACAAATGCGAAACGAGCCCCTTGTATTCGTGCTGAGATTTCGTCAGAGATCAGCCCGTTGGGGCTGATGGTACTTCCCAAATAAGTGAAGCGGTCGACGCGCTCTACCACTTCACTTCCTATTTTTAAACTAGGCGTCGATGTAGTCCAGTCCTGTAACATCATCTTGCATTTGACGGGATCGAATCGCATGCCAAACATTCGTAGATTGCGGCTCAAGGTGTTCAGAAGACTCTGCTCTGTTCTGTCAGTATCCTCACCTAGAAGGACTATATCGTCTGCATATTCCAAGTCAACGAGATTATTCCCCGGTAGCAAGTCAATCCCTGAGTCGCTGAAGTCACTTAGGGTTAAGTCCATTAACACATCTATGATGAAGTTGAATAGAAAAGGGGATAATGGGCATCCTTGACGGACACCACTGGTCGTCCCCAGTTCAGATGACAGCTCGCCGTAAGCCCTCACCTGGCTGTATGAGTACGAGTAGAGTGCCTTAATCAGTGCAATATATTTTCTTGGAATTCCCTTTACAGCCAAGCAGGTTGTATAGAGAGGTGGATATAGAGAAAACGCAGTCGACGAAAATGATCCAGACAATAAGAACAAACATCAGACACCATCAAACGAAAAGAAAGGGTGTTCAAACTACCAGCTGTCTGTCTGTCTGTCTGGATTCAACATAGAACTTGACACCGAAGTGCAGCAGTTCGAGTTGCCACGTTCCAATTGGCACACAAGGTAGACAAGAAGATGAGTGAAGAGAATCAATACAGTCTGACAAGCATAAGAGTGAAACAGGATGGGTAATGGTAGAAAGCAATATGAAAGATTACAGAGACTGAATACATCTGCGCTGGCCATTGACAACGATTTTGAGCCATGTCACCTATTGTCTGCAGCCATTGATTCCTAGAGTCCCGAGGGCCCCAACCCGGAAGTCTGCATCTCCCTACCAGCTACGATTGAGGAATCAAAACAGGCGTTAGCTCCTGTGAAATCATACCGAACAAGATTGGAATCCTGTCCAATACACAGATGTTAAGTCAGTCAGTGTTTCTACATACTTGGTACCCGCGTCACTGGAAGTATTTCCAACGGTATACTAAAGAATTTTACCAACTGCAGCCTTCATCAGATACTGAAGATTAGATCATAGGTGCCTGCGTTCTATTTCCCGTGTAAAGTGGCATAATAAGGTGAGCAACATTGAGGTTAGGCGCAGAGTTCTAGGTAAACAGGGGAAATCAATCGACGAAGTCGTGAAGCTACAAAGACTGAGATGGTTAGGACATGTGTTACGTATGCCAAGCCATCGCCTCCCTCAACGAGCAATGTTAGCGGATATAGGGTCAGGCTGGAAAAAAGCTAGCGGCGGTCAAACAAAAACTTGGCATCAGTCAATGAAATCCACAACAGTTGGTCTAAGCCACGTAGAAAGGTGTAGACTTCCAGGCTGGGGTCCTCGGGACGGTAAAAATCTATGGTTGGAAACAATTGGTGACATGGCTCAAAACCGTTCTCAGTGGCGCAGATGCATCCACTCCCTGTGACTTATGATTTCCAATGAAACTGTTTTGTTTTTCTTTATTACTCCTTTGTCTCACACCTCTGCTCACTGTTTCTATTATGCTTTTCTTGTACTTTCTTCTCTTGCTTCGCGTGCTACACGGAGTGTGGCGACTTGAACTTCCGCCCATTTGTGCAAAGTTCTATGTCGAAAACAGACAGACAGACAGAAGATTAGATATAACCGACCAAAACCCAGGGATTCTGGTAGAACAGAGAATCAGCCAGCAATCTCTTGCTCAACAAATATGAAGGAAATGCAGGGGAGTGGACATATTCTCAGGAGACCTACTAGTGAATTCGAGTGGGAAACGACGAGTCGGGAGTTTGATAGGGGGAATAAGGGAGATCATTTGGGGAGGGTAATTCCCTTTGGTTATAAATGATTCCCCTCCCCCGTAGTCTAACCTACGTTAACTTTTTAACGACTGACTGACTAAGCGATCACATGATATAATATCCCCATCACAGTGATTCCAAACCGTCGTATTCCGGTATAATAGTCACATTACTTTCAGTCAGACTGCACGCCAGATAGTGTCAATACAGGTTAAAAGGGACATATGTCGTAGAACATCGGTGGTCAATAGTAGTTGTATGTAAGAGACAAAGTATGTCAAAGAAAGGCGGAAGTATAGTTGTAACATAAAAGTAACACTAGTGAACCTACCTATCTGTATTACTGTTCACACCACTATCAGTGGCCTCTGTTTCCATGCAATCAGAACAAGTGTCCGAAGAGATAACATTTTCATTGGTAACAGGTAGACAATTATTTTCACCATTGTTTTGTACATTAGTTTTTGTTGAACTATGCGAATACACTAATCCATGATCATTGTCAGCCTCAGTATCACCATTTTCCGAAGTGTTCTCTTGTCTTTCTATTCCGGTTTCAGGGGATTCACATTTTTCACTTGTATTATTAGTAGTAGTATTAGTAGTAGGAGTCGTAACGAATTCCGATAAATCGAGTCGATCCAAAGGGAATGTGAATTTATCATTTAATTTAATACGATTCAATGTTTGTGGATCAAAGGTGAAACGCATTAATTGTAGCGTTAACAAGTACGGCATCTTGTGAAATGCACATCCACGTTCAGCATCACGTTTACACTCACAATAAGAACACCAATATTGATTATTGCCTTCTAAACGTTCAGGTTTAATCAATGCTCTAAATGCAGCCTCCTGTAGTGTAGTTGAAATAATAATAACAACAAGAACATTGTCATCATACAATGAAAATAAATGAATAAAGTAATTGAAACAATACGTTGTACGCTAACACGAATAGCTGTTTAAACATAAACAGTTCGAAGTCCTTTGTCTGGGATTAGCATTATGATTTATGTTATAAATTATTTAGAATAATCCTAACGTGTTTTAACAAAAAATTAAAACAAGAGTTTTTTGAACGTTTCGCTGGGTAAGCGCCACAGCTTATTCATAGCAGAATTATTCGGATCTATGGTCTGGAAACCTGCAGTCATATGAGTTACGTGTTTAGAATTTCTAAACTTTCATGTTTTAACAATTTAACTCCAGAATAAATACATGTCAGCAAGAGAGAGGGACCCACAGACGACAACAGATATGTTGACCCCATTATTGCAAAAGGTCTAGGAAGGAAAGGTGCCTATTGACTGGAGGAAAGGTTACCTCGTGAAACTACCCAGAAAAGGCGACTTAGGACTCTGCAAGAACTGACGAGGAATCATGCTCCTGTCGATGCCAAGTAAAATTCTGAGTCGCATCATCCTGGAGAGAATAAAGGACGCACTGGATACAGAACTCCGACCAGAACAAGCTGGATTCAGGAAAGGCAAATCATGTACTGACCAAATTGCAACTCTACGCATCATTATCGAACAAAGCATGGAATGGTAATCAAACCTCTACCCCAACTTTATAGATGATGATCTATGTTTGATGTCACACAAAATCGAAGACTTACAAGCGAAAACCGACAGAATGGTCGAAGAAGCAGCCAGCGAAGACAGGACTCCACCTGAACATAGATAAGATGGAGATTATGAAAATAACCAACCAACAACAACAACAGCAGCAACATCCACTGCCAATCACCATCAACGGGAGGGATTTGAAAGAGGTTACTTCATTCACTTATCATCTAGGGAGCATTGTCTCAACTACAGGCAGTCGGAACGGACGAGGATGTCAAATCGAGCGAGAATTGGGAAGGAGAGAAACACACTCACATCAAACTGAAACCAATCTGGAAATCTTCGTCACTCACCATCAACAACAAAATTCGGTCGGATTTTCAATACGAACAACGTCAAGTCAGTCAGTTCTTCTATACGGATCAGAAACTTGGCGGGTCACAAAGAATATTTCCAACAATATTTCCTGTTGCAGACCTTTATCAACCAACAACTGTCTTCGCTGGATCTATACTGAAGATGAGATGGCCGGCCGGGCCGGAAAGAATCACCAACAACCAACCAAGCCATGGGAACAAACAAAACAAGAACCAATCGCCCAACAACAGCGAATATGCAGGAGAAAATGGAGATGGATTGGACACTCGCTGAGGAGGCCACCACTGGGTGACATCGCGCGCACGTCAGGCCATGGCTCGAGTGGAACCAGGTCGAAAGGGAAGCGGTGAGTGGGACGTCGGTGCAAGGGTGACATGGAGGCGATCGTGTGAAGAGGAGTTGAAACAGTATGGACTAACATAGATGCAGGTGAAAAGTACAGCAGGAGGAAGACAGAAGCAAGTGGAGACGTGCATTTGAAGCCCTATGTTCCACTAGGAACCCAAGGGAACAATAATAATAAAAACAATAATATGTGGTAAGACACTTTTTAAGTAATATTCTGGTTAGGTATAAAATGTTAATTCCTTTGCATACCCCAGACCACATGTGTGGTCGGCACGAGCGTTTTACCACTGGATCCTCCAACGCACTTGAAACAATCAAGCACGAAAGGTATTCACATAGGCTATTCAATGAAATATATCAACAATAACAAGAACAACAAAAAAGAGGAGAAAAACCACTACTTACTAGACTTTCATAAGGCTTAGCATTTAATTCAAATGATCTTAGTGGGACTTGAATATCTAAAAATGTATCCGGTCGCCAACTAACCCGATTGCAATACAAACAACGAACATAATCAGATCTTTCACCTTGATAGAGTCGATTAATCAAGTTGAATGTGGATCCTGAAGTTTTCTTCTTTTTAGATCATTGTCAGCACCATCATCATCATTATCACGATCTTGTTGTTGTTCATCACCAGCAGACTTCTTATAATCATTATTATCTTTAGAAGAAGCCGTCTTTGAACATCCCAATTTCTTTTCTAAGGCATCAAATAAAACTCTGCATAACTCATGAATATCCTGTTGTTGTATGACATCACATGAACGCCAACCGAATGACGTGGTCACACCATTTGTACTGATTGCTGTGCTTTCTGTAGTCTGAACCAAAATTGTAAGACGAAGTAAAACAACAACAACAAAAATCAATTAAATCATCTTGAAAATCTGAGATTTAAAGAAAATACATGTGCCTAATTTCCAGGTAGGGAGGGGGCCATTGTATATCTGTCTGTATAAGGTAAACACAACTTCTATAGAACCTTTCAGAGCTCTAGCGTGAAGTATTTTGTCCCCAGTGGAAACGTAAAAGAATAAAATAAAATAACCTGTCTGTCTGTTTTCGACATAGAACTTTGCACATATGTGCGACAGTGCGAGTCGCCACACTCCCTCCTTGTAGCACACAAAGCAAGAGAAGAAAGTAGAAGAAATACATAATAGCGACAGTAAACAGAGGTGTGAGACAAAGGAAGAGTAATAACAAAGAAAAATATAGTTTCATTGGAAATCATAAGTCATAGGGAGTGGATGCATCTGCGCTGTCATTGAGAACGATTTTGAGCCACATAACCAATTGTCTCCAACCTTCATTGGTTTTTACCATCCCGATGACCCCAACCAGTCAGGAAGTCTACACTCCCCTACGTGACTGCGTTAAACTAACTGTTGTTGATTTCATTGACTGGTGAAGCCATGTTTTGGTTTGACCGCCGCTAGCTCTTTTCCAGCCTGACCCCATGTCAACTAACATTGCCTGCTGTCGAGGAAGGTGATGACTGGGCATACACAACACATGTCCTGACCATCACAATTGGTGTAGCTTCACAGCCTCGTCGATTGATTTCCCCTCCTTACCTAGCACTCGACTGATGCCTAACCTCAATATTGCTCACCTTATTATACCACTTCACACGCGAGATAGAGCGCATTAAGCCATTAAGCCAAAATGCTGAAGTACCGAAAAGATGGTAGACACTTTCAGTGATTGCCATAGGATGTTCTGCATAGAAATAATCATGTTGAAGGATGGAATGACAATAAATCACAGCGGCATACAGCAACGGTAACAATACTACGTCATATAATATATATAGTCCAAGTTATTAGTTTACATGTAAATCCTATAAGAAGACGAGATATTTCGGAAAGCTGAAAACTTCTGTACTGTGTATTCTCGACACGGATACAGACAGCTCATTTGGCATTAGCTAACTTACGTCACCGCTGACTTAGCAGACGTGATATCCAGATGGCTGGCTATCGACCGAAGAACGTATGTACTCCTCAGTAGTTCGCTTCATCCTCCTTTTTGACTACGAGTGAGACATCGTCATTGGAAATGGAAGACATGAAAACCCTGGCTCGCTGTCATTCATCATAAGTGTCTGCGTTCTGTATCACGTGTTAGATGGTACAATAGGGTCAGTGATAATTCAGGTTAGGCCTCAGTTGAGTGCTAGGTAAGGAAGGTGAACCGATCGACGACGTTGTGAAGTTACACCAACGGAGAGAGAGACGGTTAGGATATGTTTTAAATATGCCTATTCATCCATCGCCTTCCTCGACGGCTAATGTTAACTGACATAGGATCAGCTTAGTAAAGAACTAGTGGTGGTCAAAAGAAAACATGACATCAGTCAGTGAAATTCACAACAGTTAATTCAAGCCGGACACGCAGCAGGGGGTGTAGACAGGTTAGCTGACTGGTAAGAACCAATTAGAGCTAGAGACAACCAGTGATACGGGTCAGAATCATCCTGAATGACAGTGTAGATGCATTCATTCTCTCTTCTTTGATATTACTGCTATTGTTTTCCCTCACACACACTTGTATTTATCATCTCTCTGTTTAACCTCTCTTTACTCTCTTCTCTTGCTTTGTGCAGTACATGGAGAGTGACAAATCGAATTGCTGTATATCTGTGTGAAGTTCTGTATGTTTAAAACAGTCAGTCAATATGTTAACAAAGTGCATGAAATAAAGATTTATTATTATTAATAACATTCGGATACTTTGCTAACAAGTAAAACAATTTTCACCTAATTAATTACCTGTAATTGAACAAATAAACGTTGAAGTTGATACGGGATACTTGTAACCGCTTCTGTTGAATTCCCTTCAAAACGCCAATGGTAAAGTGCATTACGAAATTCTGGAGTCATGAAAAGTGTCTGTAACAGGCTATTCATATAACACGTCATTCCAGAATTGACTAGTCCAACGAAATCTAAGAATGATATTATATACACACACAAAATGATAGTCATGAGATTCTTTAGAGGGCAAAGTAAGTAAATCTATTTAACAACACTGTAGGTTTAAATAAATTTATGTGACCTACAGATAAAAAAGTGTTCAGGCAATAGACAAAATCTTCACGATGATTGTTAGATAACGAAAACTATTCAAAGGACAAACGAGCATCTCTGAACGCTGTAAGTCATTTGTAGACCTTGAACAGATGAACCAAGAAAATATGACAGCGTTTTTTATTATTTCAAGGATTCATTTTAATAGGGCTACTACATGAAATAATATGAAACCAAGTAGTGAAAGATGAACTCCTATTACCGCCTTCGTGCGTTTGTCGTTCATGCTATGTTCAAGCTTATTAACGAAGGGATTTCAAGTTTGAACACGGATTATTAATCAGTTAGAGAAGCATTGGAAACCAAGGAGTACTAGATAGCTGCTCCCCAGTTTCCAGTGGTTCTCTAACTGATATCATTTCGTGGGGAAACTTGAAAAAAAACAATCAAATCTTTACAAACGAATTCATGAAAATTAATCTGGTGCTCGATTGTGACTGGCTACAGTACGAAGTTGCCTGGGATTCTTTCATGTGAAAAGTCGTGATCAGTGGGGTCCATCCGGTCGACAGTAAGGACAGATACTCTCCGGCTAGTCGCTCTAAAAGTCAAGAATTGGCAGAAGTTAGGATTTCTGGGTGGCCATCGAGTCGGGTCCCAATAGCTGAATGGTCTACGAGCTTGACGTGTAACGTGAGGGCCCTGGATTTGGACCCTGGTGGTGGGTAAGTACCGGCGATAAGTCCCAAGCTAAGCTGATGAAACAGCTGTCTAGTACTCCAGTGTTGATTTCCAGTAGTTTTATGACTGATATCAGTCCGTGGAGAGACTTGGAACAAATCAAACGCCTACAAATAACTCTTGAAAGTGGGGAAATTTGGAGATTTTCAGTAAAATTGACAGAAACAATTTCAAGTTTTATGAATCTGAAATATGTACATCACTCAGACACTATTTTTTTCGTCTGCCTTACTCCACCCTTCCATATCTAATAATCTCAGAGAACCAATAAAAAATGGAGTTGACAATATTCTCAAAGCCGTAACATGTAATTAAGTCTTACAAACATAGACTGAGACGCAGAGGGCTACTGTGTAATACACACCAGTATTTCGATAGTTGGATATCTTTCCTATGTAAAAGATGGTATGGCAGAGATTTAGTCAACAACTCTACTCAGAGGTGATGTAACTCTGTGGATGAACTAATTGATTAAAACATTGGAACACTTTATTCGTTAGATTTAACTTCTTCACATGATAAACACAATTTCATTTTTTCTTAATGCAAATAACAAAATACATTAAAAAGTGAAAAGTATTTTAAGGGAAACCGGACAACATACTTTGTGGGACTGGAGAAATAACTGTATCTGTACGTAGAACTGCATTAACCGAAGAGGATCTTTCACAGGATGAAGGATCAGCTAACACAATAGCAGTACAGGTGTTAGGTTTCTGTGTTGCACAGGGATCCGAATCTGTGTGTTGCATACAGCTTAAGCCAATAACAGAACCATCGTCTTCACTATTTGATGAATTGTTCGGTTGCTGAGATTCATCTGAAAGGCAATTAAAGAAAACAAATTTTCTTCAGTTGCTTAGTGCCAGGAATATCGATCTCATTTCTGATAGGACGTCCCACTTACGGTTCGAAAATCCTCAGTGGGCCTGGAGTTTCGTATGGTTTGTGTCACCAAGTCGCCAAACCTTTTGACTCATGTCTACACTACTCGTCAGAAGAAAAGAATTTTGAATTCTTGGATTCATGGTTTCCTCTCAAGTAATTGCAATACTAAAAAGTAAACAATCAGTAACTGTGTGTATTGGGCTGTGGGACACACACTGTATGCAACTAGCGGAATGCTGAAATATTAGTGAGTATGTTGGGTTCTGTCGGTCGACAGTTAATTAGTCGCATCACTGAACCACTTTTCAACACTGAGCGTATGTTGTTATATACACGACCACTGAAAGTGACATTTCCAGTTATGGACAGTACTGTGGTCTTCATATGTAACAGTTGATAACGTTAGATCTGCTGACACCTCAATGTTGGGGACTTCAGCAACTATCATCAGTCAACTGCATCACCAGGCAAGAAGAAAGCCGTAAGGAAACTACTTCATGACGTGACATCAGTTCCTTTGTAAAGAAATGTAAATTTACTCTACACAGTCTATGAAACCTACAGTTGAAGGCGAGATAGTGTGACTTATAGCAGCCACAGAAGCGCATTCCCATTTAGTTCGAATGGATGGTCACCTTATTACGATGACACCTTGACCTCTGTCTTATTTTACTACTGCTACCATTCTGCGCCATTACTACTTTAGACATTTCGACTACACATTACATGTTTCAACTAAATTTAATATACCCGAATTAACAACGCTTTGTATTTGTGAACAGTCTCTGCTTATAAGAATTTGAACAAGTCCTGTTGCAGGAAGAATCAAAGGTGATTTAATCGCATATATATGTGACAACTTGGGTCACAACTTTTGGGACTAATGTCAATATTTATTTACACGGAACTCTGTCTGCAAGCACCTCCAGTGCTCAGGTGAAGCAATTTAAGCTTCCTAACATGATTTAGACCAGCAGTCATTGACTTGGTTTGACGACTTTTCTCAACCTAGCCCCACCTGAATTTACCGTGCATAACATATCTTCAACAAACTCACTGAAAATTCGAATTACTTTTATTTCCCACATAACACTATATCAAACCTAGAAATTATTAGCTTTATACAACTTTCTTTATTCACAGACTAGAAGCTGCTGAACATTAAATAATGCAGCATAACTCCACATGAGTAAAGGAGATGACAAGGACAAAAATATTCAGCGTATTGCTCAGCGTCACGGAAACTGCATGTTTGACAGCAGCGTCGATTTATGTGGCCGTTATTTGAATGTCCTGGGTTGATAAGCCTGATGTCGGCTTTGTTCTTAAAAAACTGAAGTCAAATACAATCGCTTCAATCAGTTGAAGTTAAACGTAGTGACCGATGGCAAGGGGTAGCCTACCAATCAGGTTGTAAAGCTGCGTTGATTGAGATAGCCAAATAATTGCTTCCTTTGCGCACTGTTAGGTGACTTAAGGTCAGGTTTGAGAAGAATAAGGGGTGGTTAAGTAGAAACCTGGGGTCAGTTCAAGCCTTCACCAGTTGGTTTCATCCACATAGGGAGGTGCAGAATACCTTGTTGGGGATTTTGAAATGCTAAGGACCAATGGCTGAAGACTGTTGATATGACTCAAAGTCCTTCTCAAAAGGCGTAGATGCATTCACTTTGTTATATCGCAGATCCTTAAAATCTAGCTAAGTTCCATGTACTATCGTTCCTTCCGTACCTAACTGTTTATTGTAGTTCTTATGAATTTTTACTCTATGCACAATATAAGTGTCAACATGAACTACTGCACTCCTGTGCAAATTCCATGCTGAAACCAGAGATATAGTTCCTCCTTGACTCGCACATATTGTTTAAATTCCATGGTAGGGACCTTGACATATCTCTAGTGACTAATCAGACGGGTCAGAAGTAGGGGTGCGTAATTTGAAATAAACACCTATATACAATTAATGCAATGTAAAAAAATTAGTTATATAGTATGACGTTCTGGAATATCTTCCAAGAAAACCTCTCGACTTCTCACATGAATCCTCATAGTTAGGTTAAGCTCCATTGGTGAAGAGAAAAGATCTCCACAGATGTATACCACAAGGATTAAGATAGGAAACAAGAGCCTTTTGTCACTATAATCTGTACCTAAAATTTTTCAAGGTCATTAATCCATTCACTAGGTAGTCTCGTTTCGGGCTGCTATAGTCTAGTCACCCATGAGTTCCCCCCCCCCCCTGTATGACTCCAAACCTCTGTTAGTTAGGGCCAGTGCTTCAGAAATCAAGCATATTGTTTGTGACAAATAAAATCAAATTCGATGCATGAATTGCAGCTGCATATAACAACATAAAAGCAAAATTTTATACGTTACAATACTGTCGCCTAACTGGGGAAAAAATTAAATGCATGCAATAATTCTCATGTACTCGATTAACGTGTATTTTAGGCTCTACTCACCATCAGAACTGGGTAATACCTTGATTTCCAGGCGATTTCGAAGGGGAATTTCCTCGAGCATTTCATCACACAAGGAAGTCATTATAGGACGGGGAAGATGAGTATGGTTGCCAAATATGCAGTCCTTGTCAATATCGAAGATGCTTTCTAAATTCCTGGTCTTTGGCAACGAGTAGGGAAACTGTAGTTGAAGAACTAACATCTGAAAATTTGTCTACTTACCGATTCATTTTCTAAGTAGTCAAGATCGAAGGACTGAGAAGTTATTTTAAAGTGTTTTCGAACAAGTTGAAAGAGATTGTCGCATGATACGCTCCCCCAAAGTCTTACAATCAGAACATTTCCAAGATCCTTTTCATATATAGATAGGAGAACTGTATTTCTCGTTAACATGTCCTAAAACATCTAAGCGAGGAGAACGTAAACACGTGCAGAGAGTACTAACGGTGCACCACAGAATTTCAGAAAAGGCGGGCAGCTATTTGGATTTGAAGCATGGAAATTTATTAAAACGTCGGAAGAGATAATAATATAACAAATGATAAAATTTGGAAGACTTGTTTCGTTTGAGTCATATTTAAAGTTGGTAAAAAGAAACTATGCAACTATTCAGATTCAGATTTATTGGTTGAGGATAGAAGGCTTGGCGCCTGTTAATACTTCTCTAGTAAATTTCTGTGTTGGTCCAAACCATTCTTGAATGAATCAGTTGAGGTTGCAGACATCACTTCATCCGGGAGTCACCTCTAAGAGTTTATGACTTGGCGTGAGAACCAGTACTCCACAGAAATATGGTTTCTCCTTGACTTTTGAACTCTCCTGCCATGTCCTCTGAGGTGTTCCGACTTGGCGAGAAGGAAAAGAGAGAATATTACATGACCTTGTGGGAGCAACGTGATCAATGATGTAAAAAAACATGAATTTGGCGTTAACTTTGCTTCAAGAACCTCCTGCCAATCTGACGTATGGGGTTAAGTTTGAGTACCAACTAGGGTTGGCAGTGAATTATAAGGTTAAGTTTACTGTTGAGTTAGTCTAGTATGAGTGCAATCGTAGAGTCGAGATTTGGGATTAGCATTAAGGGAAGGGTTATGCAAGATTATCCTATTAAATACTCTAATCACTTAAATATGAAACTTATCAATTGACCCAAATACTTTTACAGCCCAAAGTATGACTTGATCTGATTATGAGCAATAGTTTGTGCTCGAAACGTCATCAGTTAATATAACTGTACAACACTATGTGATTTATCAAAATAAAATCTTATCCATAATGGAGTTACAAAGTATGACTGTTCAAATGCGTTTCGTAGCGACTATGGTTTGTGTAGGGGGAAAGTTGAGTTTGTAGTCTTTAAAAATGATATTTCTTCCTACAAGAACAGTGTGTATATACTTTGTCCGAAAGCTTTCAAAAATAAAAGCCGTTAAGTGGAAAACAAAACACACTTGGTTAGTCGCACATCATGTTCCTTAGCTGTGATTGCCAAGTTGGCGTTATAATTACTGGTTGCATTTTAGGAGAGAAGAGGTGCTGACATTTACACAAGGTGTGATGTATACAAGCTCAAGTTCTAATTTCCAAATCTTATAATACCTGTTCAGCTTACACCAAAGATAAATCAACACAATAAGATGTCCATCTAAACTACGAGATATATTCTGGGTTTAGAATCGTAGTACCATGGTGGCTACTTAGCTGTCTAGGGATCGTGCACCAACGAACGAATGTTGCGCAACAACAAACCAGATGACGTGCATGCTTGATACGTAACTCCAGCTTAACAATTTTACTCAAACGGAGAAGGTTAACATCTACTGCTGAGTGAATAATGTTGCAGGCTAGTACTTTTCGGGATGGGAAGGGGTTGTTCATCGCTTCAGCATCTTTGAGAACTTGGTGGAAGCCCAAATCCATGATACCGGAAGGAAGTAAGAGCCGATGATATCACAACAGCTAAAACTCCTCGAATTAGCTCTTTGATACTATGCAACCCTAAGGTCGTCTGGTTAGGCACGTAGAGTCATCACACATATTCGTCAGTTGTTTGTCCTTTGGCACTTGTGCTTCACTTGCTTCTTGCCTAGTTAACAATAAACCTAGAAGACAAGAAAGCTAATAGATTTGTTAGAGAATGAAATCCCCAAACGGCATCCAAATTTGTACAGAAATACATATAGCACAAAAAGGCACATCGTAAACGAGGATGCTCATTTTGTGATGCAGAGGTAGGCATTCATTACAACGTGACTCACGTGCGTGACCGCTTGAAGCACCTGGCCGTCCAAGACGAATGCATCTTTTGTGTGGAGACAAATGCTGTTTCTACCTCGTTTTGAGTTGGTATTTCAGATTTTCATTGAGACAGCTTGTTCATCTTATGATATTTAGCTTTTTTGTGACTATAGTTTGTAGTGCAGCAATACCAGTAATGTATTATGGTCTTCTTAATAAACACAGCTTGAGATATTGTTCCAGGATTGCTTGAATTTTCGATTTAACTAGGATTTCGCTTTGAACACATGATATGCTACGAACTACTTAGGTGGCTTCGTCGTGCTGTATATTAATTTTCGACGGTTACAATCCAAGTATTGGTTGTAAGCGCTAACCGTAGTGATAGCAGAACCCACGAAAATCCACTTAATGGTTTGCTGTGAACCTACATTCAGATAAGATACCTTCCAAAAATTGACTCAGGCGAGACATCTGCAGCTCATTGTTTGAAGATCTACTGTTTCTGGTGACCTTTCTCCTGCACCGATATCTGCAAAGTAGTATATCTTAAAAACACCTGTTGTGTCCTGTGACTTCGAGAAAGGGCTACAGTCTCTGTCAGTGTGGGCAATGATACACTGCTGTGATGTACTACTGTCTTTGTTCTAGCCGCTAGTTTTCATATCCCATTTTGCATCCTGGAACAGTTTAGCTTGCGAGGGAAGTTGAATGTTGATGGGTCCCGACAACGGCTAAGACGAATGGGAATGCATGTCGACCTCAGCAGTTGTTTGGTCGCTTTACAGTTTTGCTATTGTAGATTCAGCGTTTGTTGATTTTTATCCGTTGAGCACTCGGTTATTCACATTATTTTGTTGGCAATTTATTCCAAGTCGTCAAAAGAGGCCGCTTGGAGTGTCACAGGCCTAGTTTGAAGTTGATGAGGAGATCCAGATGATATTAATTCTTTAAAGGGATCATTTATTGACATATTGTGAACAGTGGTGTCGCGTGTCAGTGTAAACTAGTTTGCCACTGGACTGTTTCCTTAGACGACGTCACTCAGGTGGTTGTTAGAGTTGTTTATAATCCAGGGGATCGTTCTTCGAGATTACTGACATGAGAATCCCAAAGGCACAACTTTCTTCCTGGGTGTCGATGACCGTTGAGTGAGGCGACAGAGAAATGGCTTGCCGTCAGACCATGCGCTTTCCTCATACTTAGCGTCAAACTCGCAAGGGTTATTGCAGCCCTTGTTATTGAAATAATAATGTCAGTTGCACCGGCACAATATGGTGTCAGTCACGTCTCAAAAGCCGTTAATGTCCAGCTCTTACTATGCTGGGCCTCTCGCTGTCCCTCGAAGCCTCTCAGAAACGCTTAGTAATAACGGATGCAAAAACCAAAACACCGATTGGCGACTCGAGAATTTTTCATTCTAACACCGGCATATGAGCAGCATAATAAACTAAGTTTTCTGACGGTTTTTCTACGTTCTTTTTGAACAGCAACCGATGAGACGATGACTGGTGTATTGATGCCTCCGCGAAAATTGGGGCAGCCTGTAGACGGACGTAGGTCATTTGATCAGCTGATGGATATTGGCGTTATTTATTGGAAAAACGTCAGGGTTTGGTCATTTTTCGTTGTTTTTCACACTTTTTTTACCTATATTCCTGCTAAAAATTGATGAAATGCGGCCTATTTAGCAGAAAGAGCATATGGTGGTGTCCTTATCCGGACGTAGGTCACAGACAGTTTACAGTTTGCTGAAAATACATAATTTTTCCGTTCACAAAATTTCTAATTACTTAAAGACACATGTTATAACGACTTTTTGTGAATTTTTTTGTAGTTTAATGGATTACACATGGACATGATGAGGTGGGATAGCTCGTTTTGGTAATTATTTCACTTACTTTGTTGTGTACTTTGCCTTAATGCTGACAAGGCTCTCCACATGTATTTATTTAAGAAAAATCTGCAGAAATACTTAAAAATTACATATGCATAGTATTTCCTTATTTGATGGCATAAACTTGATGTTAGCAGGCAGATGGAATATCAACTTTGCATCGTTGAAAAATGTTGACTAACATAATTATATACAGTTCAAATCATTATTTTGTCATTTTAAGCATATTTAATGGTTAATTATTGTGTTTACACTGATAACAATGTCTACATCTGTATAATTCTTATGTTCTTTTTCAGATAATATCTACTTTCCGGAATTTCATGGATTTGGGTGATAAAAAAAAAGATACCTGCACTGTTGTCGATTTTGTATTACATGTTAATTCATTAATAAATGTATTCCTTGTTATTCGTTTGTTTATTCTACTTGATAAGACCGAATATTAGCCCTTGCGTAATTTGTGAGGTATAGAGTATATGAGGCTATCTTTGAAATACTAAGTAGGAGCAGATATTTGGAGAAGCCTATTGGTAAAACATTACGTCGTAGTCAAATAAAGTAAATATGTCTAAATCGTAGAGGTATTGCGATTATAAAGCGTTTCGAGTTATCTATCGTCTTAGCAGAATACATATACTGATCCGCTATTCATAGTCACAAAGTGAGAGTAAATCTACCTGAGATAGTTTGCTTGTGATTTTTGCATGCCGCAGTGTACCATAAGGAGAGACTATACCTATGCTGTTAGATGTATGACTCAGTGCAACTACGGTTATCGTAATAATTAAAAACGGAATGCCTAGGGTTCTCAGCCAAAGAACACGATACGTTTACCCTCAACTTCTAACTTAGCACGTGCTACTTATGTTACTGGAACACAATCGCATTACAACAGAAGGAAGACAGATTCATTGAAAAATTGTTTATTAAACAAAAATCAGATTTCAAATGTACAGATAATAATAATAATAATATATATTCTCATTTTTTACATGAGGGACGCCAGTTTACAGGCATCATCAATTCGATAATTTACACATAATATTAATAAGCATATTTAGTAAAGATAATATAATAAAGTACATTTTTTTCCCTAGCTATGTAGGGTACACCAATTGTATAGGCATGCATAAATATTGTTTTAATAATAATAATATATTCCTTCCTGTTTATGCAGGAACATACCTATTGTACAGGCATGGATAAGTTATTATATAAATTACACATAATTTGATGTATAATGGACTTACAGTTT